CAGACTTTCAAAGGCAATTCAGAAACCTATATTTAAATCATATTCAATATTATAACTATGCATTTAAATCACATAGAAATACCCCCAGCTACCAAAACACTTGTTATTTTCAAGCACAGTACTTTCCCTGGCATATCGAGCTTTTGCTAGGGACTCGCTGCTGAGGGGCAGAAGTCAAGGAGGCAACTGAAAACAGCAGGCACTCTCTAAAAATGTTAATTACCTAGAAACAGGAGCCTCAACAGTGTAGGAGGCACAGACAAGTTTGCAAGCGTGTTTTCAGTCTTGCTTAATTTCAGTATACACCCACAGATCACAAGAGGGACATAGGATGAACCATTGGAAAATATTTCTGTACATATTGAATTTCTTTGACACACTCCTGGCACGATCTAGCTCTCCAATCAATCCCTCTTCATGCTACTCCTTCTCCTTACAGAGCATGCTGTCTGAACATCACCAAAGGTACAGATGCCAGCAGACAGGTGCGTGTAACTTGTTCATTGCCCAAATGGTCTGACCCCAAACAACTCCAGCCTACAAGCACTGAAACTCTATCAGCATGGCGCCGTGCCCTAGCTAATTACCTCTGCTGTGAGGCAAGGAAGAGAGTCCAGGGCTCAGCGTCATGTTATCACGTCTGCATAGCTTTCAGCTGCCTTGCATACTACCAGCCTGGAGGGCAGACAGAAGAGCTTGCATCTGTCTGTAGCTATCAACGTGCCTCTAGAAGTCAATCTCTGGCACAGAGGCAGCAGGCTGTACACTGCAGTCGCCACTACACTGTGTTTGCTAGGCTAGGCTGCTGAAGGAATCAAAGTGTTTCTTTCTTCCTCCACAATCACCAGGAAGTGGGACTCCAGCCTCTGCCAGGAAGTGATCTGCTTCAGACAAGGCTCTGCCCCAGACGAAAAAATAAAAAAATAAAATCACACCTTGCTGCCATCAGAAGCAGAAATGCAGAAAGTCCTTGCCATGAGAAGGTTGTCATCACAATTCAACTTGAGACCCTTTGCTCTCTGTCATTAAAGCACTTCACAGAGCTGTATTTACCCTCCGTCACTATACTGGGAACAGTTGTCCTGTTACTTCTTTTGCAGCTCTGCTGAGTGTTGCCATCTGCACAAGAAAGCTGGTTCCAAATGTTTTCAGTGTACAGCAAGCCTCTTCAGCACGTAGAAAACAGAAGTGTCATGAGTCGTTCCAAACCAGAATAGCATCAAAATGACAATAAAAGCTAACAGGGAAAGGTTAAAGACATGCCAGTATAGCCTGGAGAGCCACAGACAATTAGTGAATCTGATTTATTCCAGTTATTGCAGTTACAGTGGTTAAAGAGTCATCTCTCATTTGTTCATTTTCACACCCACTATTCAGGTTGAAGTTTGACCTCTAAAATCCCCCAACACAATCTGTATTTTTGATCCTGCCTGTTCATGTAGCTCAAGCAGCTGATGGCTACCAAGTGTTCCCTAAAATGACTCGTTGATCCAGGAGGGAGCTCATCCTTCCCTTCCACCACCTCCCATCCTTCTCCCTGAGCTTTCAGAGCTGTTCACTAGCACTGCACAAAACCTTGTCAGCTGTAACAGTTTGTGAGGGGAGGGGTGTGAGAGACAGAACTCTCATCTAGCTGCTACATACTGAAAAATGCAAATTTTTCAGTGATCAAATAGCATTCAACTTAATTAGACTCAGTGCCAAAGGAAGACAGGAGCCTACATTTCACTGTGCCCCTTCTGGAGAAGGAATGCAACAAAGAAGAAAAAGAAAAAAAATCACATAATGGAAAAACTTTCTGCATGCTAAAAAGGATAACAGCAATCTGCCTTGCTAAAAGCAAGTGACCTGTGAAAGGGGTAAGAGCTGTGCATACAGAGCTTGTTCTCAGTATGTACAAATGTCTTAAGAGCCAGTGATTGGGTTAAAAAAGTTAAGAAATGAAAAGCCAGAAGGAATAAACAAGCTCAAACGGATCTCTGTACAGGAGCTACTGATTACTTCCAAATGAGGTTTCTGAAAGAAGTATCTTTCAGTCATCCTGTTCTCCAGCAAAACTGCAGACACAGAGCAGATTGTAGTGGACATTTTTGACCCCAGGACCCCCTGCAAAAAGCAATGTTCATATTTGTCAGGCATTCTGAGAAGACCAGTCAACACAAAGATCACTACCAGTGTGTCTCTATCCTGTACTTGCTACACATCTCCGACAACACCATTTACAGATGGAGGCCCTTTTCAACTCCCACTGCCACTGCCCTTCTCCAAGGGTAGAGAGGAAAGGTCAGGATGCAGCAGACTGCCCATAGGATACGCTACGTGATGTTTTCTGGAACTGCATAGTCTTGGAATTCCTCTGAATATTTATATAATCAGCACTGCGTCAGGATTTAGCGGCAGCATGCACATTTCACACCGCTGTTGCACAGGCTTCTGATAGCATGCCAAACCAGCTGTGTGGACTTCCTGAACTACCAACGTATCACATTGCTCTTTTCCAATAGAGGGCAGATCATTTACTCTTTGGTTTGGTAATGTGGACTATACCCTGCTTTAAAAAGGATTACAATCTCAGGTAGGATTTTCAGTCCAGCTATTTTTAACTGGGGGGGATCACTCCCTAACATTTTTTATATGACGGAAAGTAACTGTGTATTATTCTCAGGCCCCACTTTTAGCTGATTTAAAAGATTCTGATACCAATCGCTGAAAATATTCCAAAGGAATTCTAAACTGATTACAAAACAAAACAAAACAAAACAAAAACAGAAAACAAAACAGAACAAAAAACAACGACACAAAACACATTTCCCATGCAAAGCTTCAACAGAGGGGAATACAGAGGTTGTAACAGAGCTTGTAACTGCCTTCATTGTAGATATAGAGTGAAGTGGCTCCAGATTCAAAGGTATTTTTTAATAACCTGTTGGCTCAGAAACACCTTGACCTACTTTCTTCATAGTTTACAAAAAGAACACCCAGGCATGCTTGCTGTTGGTACCATTTTGCAACAAATACCCTTGCACATACTTTGATAAGTGAATAGATAATTCCTCCAATCCTGCACAGTTGGTTGATCATTTAACTGTAAACACAGGCCCATCGACCACTGCAACTAATCTGAACCCTATGAAAGTAATCAGTGCCCTTCAGAGCAATTTATGATACATTTTCCAGTGCATGAAAAAAAACAGCAATTCAGTTTTCTGCAAACTTCACCAAAACCTTCCCCTTGCCATAACAGCTAACCCTAATAAAAATATAATGGAACTAGAACTAGAGGTTATTGTACAATACATGCAAACTTAACTGTAAAGGTACATCACAGCTAAACAGACTTCTGGAGAACCGGATTTGTGATTTACACCAGTAACTTTTACTTGAAACAGCAAGTCTGCTAAGTATGGATATGTATCTCATTTCCATAGAAATCACTGGGGAATTTTGTATTTCCTGTGGGAAGCAAGAATGAATGAGACTTTCCACAAACAGCACAGTTCACAAAGTACATCAATAGTTTCTGGCGCAATACAGTGATATGACCTTTGTGGGGATAGGGATGCAGAACAGGGAACGTGCAACTTATACAAAATTTCCACTTAAAGTGATTTAAGCGAAGGAACATAATTAAATGCATCTCATGAGTCAGACATGGTTAAATCTGAGAGATCCAAAAGGAAGCACAGCTATGACCAAAAAATAAAAATAAAAAAGGGACTTTCTAAAACAACAACACCTTCCTACCCAGCACTTCCTGAACCCTGTCCTTGGGCCCCAGACAACTTTACTAAATAATATTTTACAGAGAAGGGTATTTTACCCAGCCCACATGCAATCTGATTATTACTTTATTGACTGCACTTAGGGAAAGGCAGAGTTCTTCTCCAGCATACCCTTAAGAGTCTATAGAGCCACAGACAGGAAAGGAAGACGTGGTTGTGTTCTCCCTGCTCCAGGCAATAACTAAACGTATCTCTACTGCAGGCCAAAAAAAGTGGGAGGGAAACCTGAGGACAACAGTATGAAAACTTTGCACTGTCTTCCACTGGGGATCTATTCAGAGGATGTTCCTCCACATCATTCTTCCTCTACATTTCTCCTAATTGCCTGCTTTACTGGAAAGAGTGTATCTCGAGTAACATGTACCCACTCACTTCTCAGCTTCTTAGGAAGATGGCAAGAAGAGGCATCAACTGCCTGCAGCAAAAGAACTCCCACTGACCCAGATGGTCCAGGAACAGGGCCAACCACCGTCTAGTCTGCATAACAATATGAACTAATACCGATGGATTAGATCAACAAATCATTTAGGCAAACAGTCGTGCAAGTTTCAACTTTCTAAGGCTGAAATGATGTTCTTCCTTACAGATTATCTACTACTTAAAGGTTAAAAAATAAATAAATCTTCCAGGTTCTGTGCTATGATTGGTAAAGTTAAAGTCTGTTGTTACTTGCTTGTTTGTAAATAAGTAACTGTCTTGTTTCTGGTGGTCAATCACATCACTTAGTGAGAAGTGGAAATTTAGACAATATATGATTTGGGTCTCAATGGATAATAAATGTGATTGCAGATGAGGTTGTTATAAAATTTCAGAGTCCATTAGAATGAAATTCCAAGTAATCACTCTAGCAAAACGGAAGCAAACCTGTGTCCTAGAGAGACTGCAGTTATTGTCTTCAAGCTTGCTCTAACAAACCAATTGATAATTTCACTTTATATTTTGCAGATATAACAGGACTGGAAAAGCACAAATAGTCCAGATTTTACCAAATATGCAATAAACAGTTTTCTCTCTCTTCTAACGCCATTGTGATTTCTGCCAAGACTCAGAATTGCACATCTGGGAGATGCCTGGGAGCAGATGATTAAAGCTAAAGTCAAAGGAAATACAGAACAAAGTATGTAAGCTAAGAAACAGAGAATATTGCTTATGTTGTCTGCACAAAATTCTCCCGAAAGAAAGCACACTGAAGGATGGAAATTTTTACCTCTCACTTACCCTGGTAAAGCTGAATGAACTTGGGCTGTAAGGCAGAGCTGATAATCCCATCTGGCAACTCTCTCAAAAATAATTTCAGAAGACTGGCTGCCGAGTACACATCGCCATCTTTAACTAGCTCCACCTCTTCTCCACGCTCGTATTGCAGACGCAACTGTTCCACCATTTTCATGCTGCCGTTTACCCTGAAGAGACCTTCTTGAGCCATACCTATAATTATGTATTACACGTGAGGATGGTCTGAACTAAGATACTACTGACATAATAAAACAGATATTCCATTGTGAATGATACACTACCATCAATACAAAGGAGGACAATTAGTACTATGCAGTTTAAAAAGATCTTATTTTTCCCCTGGAAACTCCAATGGTCAAGTATTGGGTTATGATAACTTAATAAATACTGCTGACTAGATCTTGAGGCCTGGGATACTCTATGAAAACCCACAACACCCTTTGGCATTGCTGTAACATGCAAATATCTCACACCATGCAGAAATCAATTGAGATGGCTGCATTTTGCATCAGTACACTTCAACTGAGAAGAATCCAGGTTCTACAAACCTTTCAAAATTGTTTCACAGCAGCAGTAACTCTATAATAAGCACCACAGCTTCACAATAGCAGAAAATCTTCGAGACCAAATGCATATTTTGGACAGCACGAGGCCCAAAGTATTTCGCTATGAAAATAAAAATTATCAATCATTTCAGGCCAGACAACCCACACCCAGTGAAGGTTTCCATGGAGGAAGTGAGATGAATCATATTGTATCAAGCATCACTTTTTAGGCATATGCTGAGATTCAAAAACTTTAGGAAAACATGTGCCTAAAGCTCAACTTGGTAGATTAATTTTTCACTAAAACATTTTCACAAGAACTCTGCTTTTTCTGATACTGTGGCTTATTCTTCTTTAGAAGCATAACACTAAGATGATTGAAATATAAGATATATGGTTTTCATTAGTTCAGAGTGGTCATTCCTAAGCAGGAGCCTGACAGAACGCTGCCAGTCCAAGAAGTCAATACTGATGCAGCAGACCTTGTAAGGAAAAGCAATCTCTTTTATTGGATCAGCAAACAAACTGATCTAGTAAGAAAAATATGGACAGACACTTAAGCTTTTTACTTGACTAATGTAAGATACGGTTTACAGATCTTGTATTCCTGTATTCGCAACAAAACACTCCAATGTGACATGCTGTACTGCCATCTGGGGGACAACAGGAAACACCACATCTCAGTAATTCTGCAGCACAAATTGAACAGAGCCCCCACCCAGATAAAATGTCCTTTGCTCTTTCCCAAACAGTCATTTATAGAAATAAATACAGGCTAGAACCCACTTGGATCAGTAATCAAATATTTCTAAATTCAGTATACGAAAACTTGGTTTCACCTATAAATTTGAAAATAAGCAGTTTAATACAAACTTTGTTCAAGAATGTAGCTACCCAAAAGTTGGCTCAGCTTTTTCAAATGGGTAGTCAATTCCCTGTTAACTGGAAGAGAGTCTTTGAAAAGGCTTGACTTAAAAAGGCCTACGGTGCCTATTACTGCATCTTTGCAAAATAGGAGACATACCGAACAAACAGTAAACATGCTTGGCAGAACACGATGCCTCCTAAGAGTTTGTGTTCATACCTGGGGCTCTGTTTAAAATGTTTTCATGGTTAACATCACCATTATTTCACAAAACAAACTGTGGGTGAGAACAGAACAACCATTTCAAAAATTTCCCATGTAAGAGGGCATATTTGAGATCTTCCTTGCAGTCTTGAGAAAGAGAATGGATTATATGCTTATCAAGACTGGATAATCACCTTGGCATTTAGAAGACCAACTAATCTTGCTGCAGAGTAGAGGACTTGGCTTGTTCAGTTCATATTTGGGAAACACTTGTGTGGGATGCAGACCTTTTTATGGAAGGCAGAGTATAGCCCACAACTTGCAATCAAGAGGGTTTGTCAACTTTGGTTTTGATTAAACCTGAATGATGCAAGATCTCTTTCCATCCTTGATTTTTTACTGTTCTAGCAGACTATTTTAAAGCAAGGTGAAGTAGATCAAGCAAAACACTACTGTGGAATATAGGTAGGATTATGTTTTAAATTTCCACTGTACCTTAATCTAAGCTAACTTTCATGCTGTGTTTGCATCTACCAGCTTCTAAGGGTCTATCAAGACAGACATGGAATCTTAAGACTCTGTAATGGGATTATCATTACTGAGCAGCTAAAAGAAAGACCTTAGGGTAAAAACAGATGCAGCTTCTTACAAGATGAAATTGCAGCCATGAAATCTTTTCCAGGGCAGAACAACTGCTACAGGATACATCTGTGCACCAACAGTGCTCTAGATTTCTAGATGTATTTCATCAACAGGGAATGAAGTCCCATGAAATGAATGCAAACAAAGGCTAAGAATTTGACACCTACCTCCCCGAGGGGGTTCAAAATGACTGAAATCTAACTGAAAACCTGCAAGAACATGTATTCCCATTCAGTAACGTATTCTCATGGGATTTGTATGTGCACATGAATATCTCTGTATAGATATTTATGTCTTCTCACTGTCAGAAACTGTGAAATAGTCGAATGTTTTGCAACTAGAAAATGACACAAAGCTTCAAAATGAAATACGCTTTGTTTATAAAACTGAACAGCTTACTAATGAGCATGTGGTGTTTCATAACACTGTAGTTTATAAACATCCCATTAAATAGTAAATTCAGTACCAGAGATGGAAAAAAAGAAACAAATCACACAGTAATATTCGCTGCATGTGGTTAGCACCACAGTCCTATTCAGGACAAAAAAAAAAAAAAAAAAAAAAAAATCTTTTCCCTTTGAAGGACCTTACATATAGAGGTAAAAGTAATTTCATTAAGCTTACCATGCTGGGTCAGGTACTCAACTATATTCCGCACAACTATTGGGATGCCGTTCTTGCTTAGTCCCTGCTGCTGGAGCTCCAGAAGACTCACACCAAACACCTTTGGACGGGTTGTGTCCTTCTGCTTGTTCAGTGGAAGTGAGGCTATCTTCTTCATGTCCTCCTTCAATCTCACGGCCGATTTACTTTGCTTAAAGAAACACAGGAAAAACGTGCATTAATCTTGTTTGTTGCAGAAGGTTGCATGGTTACAACATGAGCATATCCATCAAAATTGGCTTTTATGTTCCAGAATAAGATTTTGGTCTTACTTCCTTTTAATTCATAGGAAAGTCACTGTGAAGTAGAAAAATGTAACTGAGAGAAAAAAAAAAAAAGAAAAAGAAGAGTGTATATCTGGAAAAGAGTGTAAGTAGCATATAATTAGGATAAAGAAGAAAGATACTTTTGTATGCAAGCTTGTTACTAGAGTAAGAAGTAACTTTGACTCTCAGGAGGGTGCTTTTGTAACTCATGCAGTTCAGTTTCAACAAAAATCAACCAGACAAACACATGAAAAATCCCAATACAACATAATCAGTTCAGGGTGTATCCAGAATGCCTGTCAGTCTCTGAGGGTTCTCTAGGGAAGGTTCACTGCATCTTTCTTCTAAATGCTACTCCCTGAGGATTCGTTTTGGCCACTGCCAGCTGAGATGGACCCTTACAAAAGATTTTATGGTATGTTTAGTATCTACTAAGTCTGCAGTTTAAGTACAGAGATTTCAAAGTTAACAGGGACTAGGTAATCGAATCACATCTAATATGTGGGGAAAGGACCAGACCAGCTTCAAATGTAAACATCCCATAGCTTCTTCTGGAGGCACAATATACATCTGGAAGACATTCTCACAAGTTTTGAACTGCAGTGGCAGAAAGAACATGAGACAATATTCAATAAGACCCGAGGGAATCACATAATTTAGGATTAATTTTGGAATGCTGAAATCTAAATAATCATATGGTATTATCGGTTTGGAAAGACAGCCAAAGGCAGAACAACATAACCCACCACAGTTGTAACTACCATACATACCTAAGCATCATTTTTCTAACACAGACAAGCAGAATAGAACTCAGTTAACCTCACTCAAGACGAAATAAGTATTTCTACTGATGTTTCTGATGTTTTCCCCATGTTGCTGACATCAGTTCCCCATGTTGCTGGAACAGTGGGCCACTGATACCACAGAGTTCAGTCTATTAGGTTAAGAAGTCACCACTAGTGCAATGCATAAAAATCAATATATTCCTACAGTGTTTTAGTAAAAAATAGGCAGTAGAAACCTTACAAAAAAATTACAATATTCTTTATACTTAACACAAGAAACTGCTCAGACTCTTGCCTGGGTCTTGGCGCTTGACTGCAAAAGGACAAAGTGTATAGTTTTTTGTTTGTTTGTTTGTTTGTTTGTTTTTAAACAAATACTTAAAACTTCTTCATTGATGACATGACATTCTTACTGCAGTTTGTAATGAACCTAAAAATCTGAACAGGGTTGCTATTATGCCCAACTGTCCATCCAGATATCTGGCAGTTCATTTCTTCTACTCTGCTGTACCTTTCCCATTAAAAATATATTCCTGGAGTACACGTGGGTTCTATAGTTCCAGGTAGTACGCAACACTTATCTGATCTTTATGAAACACATTACTTGTATAAATATGTTTTTTATTCGTGAAACATCATTACAATATATAAATAAAACCAGCACTACAGTGAACACCTTTTTAATTCTTTACAGCAAACACCACATGTGTAAATTACTGAACTGTAATTTGACCGACTTGTTAAAGTACCTCGTCACGTATCTCTTTTTAAAAGAGATGTTTCCGTTGTGGGTTAAATGGGCAATATACAATTTTCACTTCAGGCGGATACATGCCAAAGAAAAAGCTACGTAGCTTGGGTTCGGTTCACAAAACAGCAAAAATCCCGAGCAGTTTACAGGCAGCCGTGGTGCTTAGGGAACTTTTTGCTTAGAAAAGGCCTCCAGTTACCCCCACAAAAAGTCTTGCTCAAGCGAAGGGCTCCGGCCTGTTGCCATTTTAGCACTCAAAACACAGAGCTGAAATTCCTTGCTCAAACTCATAATTTACATCTGCAAGACAACCGAGAGACGTTTCCCGCGCCTGCAGGAACAGAGGGGTAAATTGTTAGGCTCCTTTTGGGATCTGGAAGGGATATGTTAACCAAGGAGAAAAAATTAAGGGTAGTTATTTCAGATATATGCTGAATCAAAATCAAAGCGCCTCCTCGCAACAGCTCTGAGCATTCACTGTTAGGCGACTTTCGGCGAGGAAGACTTGATGCTATAAGAGGAAAAGTTGTCAAAGCATGTAACTGGCCATAACTGACCGCAGAAACTTACAAAAGCAGCCCTCACAGCACAAAAGCAGCCCGGGACGGCGCGTTTGCAGCTCACCCAGCCCAGTTTTACAGGCGGCCACCCCCCCACCGCGACTGCTCCCGTTCTCCCCGTCCCGGCCGCGATCCGCAGCCTCTCCCCGTCCCCATCCCCGTCCCCATCCCCGAGCCGCCCCACTCACGCAGATGGCCAGCGCCCCGGCCCCCATGCTGCCTGCCCGCCGGCCGGGCCCGGCTCCCGCAGCCCGCCCGCCTCCGCTGGGCCCGGCAGCCCCCTCCGAGCCGCCGGCCCGCCCCGCCGGCCCGCCCCTGCCTCTGCCCCCGCAGCCCGGGGGGGAGCAGAGCCTGCCCCCTGCTCCTCACGCTGCTGCATGGCCCCCCCCAGAGAGCAGCCGAGGGGGTCTTGGGCTTTAGGGGGACCCCTCCGTCGTCCCCCGGCTGAGCGGGGAGCAGTGCGGGGAGAGGCAAGGCTCAGCGCGTTTTGGTGCCCCAAAATCCTCTTTGTGGAGTGGAAGGAAAAGCAGCGGGGCCCTTTGTGGTGTTAGGGAGTGTGTGCGGTGTGTAGGTCACGACTGCTTGTGGTCCTCACGCACCTACAGGTTAACAAAGCCGAGCAGCGTGATGTGAAGGCTGTGCAGGACGCATACTCCTTTGCCACGATGTGAAGTCAGCCTTGCAAAATATACTCCTTTGCCAAGGGAGAATCCAGTGCTATAACCAGCACTCTGCTTGTTAGTGCCAGTGCTACGTGGTACAATATTGGGCCTGAACGTAAAAAGTGTGGAATGCTGGACTTAATCATCACCCCACCCCACCCACCTATGCCCCTCAACCCCCTGGTTTTCCATCTAGGGATACAGCAGTGAAAGGAGAGAAAGGATAAGGCAAAAAGGGGTGGAAAAAACCCACAGTGCTTGCGACTGCCAGCAGTCACATCATACAAAGAGTCCACGTGCCAGCAGCAGGAAGAAGAATTAATTCCCCAGCGTACCACCCTGTCTCACCTCAGGCTGGAAGCAGGGCTGGTACTAAAAAATTAAAGAAAAGCATGAAAGCATGTTTCAAAATTGCACTGTAGAGTTGCAGGGTTTCAACGTTTCACGCTTTTTTTTTTTTTTTTTTTTTTTTTTTTTTTTTTTTGGTGGAAGAGAAGCACATACACATACTTATTTCTGTATCCTTTCAGGTGCAAGTGTTACTCGGCAGTGCCTTAGCATGTGAGTAGAAGACAAGGTCTTTGGAAAGTCTGCCTCTCAGAAGTACCTGCGTCTGGTATGGGAAGAAAAGGCAGGCTGTACAGCTAGAGAAAAAATGAGGAAAAAGAACATTTTCCTGGAGGCAGATGGGAAGGGACTGAACTATGTGTCAGATGGAAAACGTTACCTGCAGATTTCAACTTTCATTCATAATGTATTTTTATTAGGTGTTTTAATCAGAATTTCCTTCATACTCGGTTTCTGTTTCCTGTCTAAGCTCAGTTAAACCAACCTGACCCAAAATGATTACTTTCCCACTTTGAATAGCAGAAAGTTAGACTTTGGCTTTGGCATTTTCTAAGTCTCTTAGCATTTTCTAAGTTTCCTGCTTCCTATACTGTGAGACTCAGAGTTGATGCAACATCCTCCTCCTCCACCATCACCCTCTCTACTGTAAGCCACTAACATGCTTTTCACATAAATCACACAAAGCTATGTTCTTAGGCCGAATCACAGCTCCTCAGGAAAACACAATGACATGCTTCAAACTGTAACCTGGACAGAAAGTGATGAGAAACTGACACAACTGACACTCTCTGAGAACTTTGGGGGCGAAGAGTTCAGACATGAACCTGTATTGAATAGCAGCTACAGCATTAAGGCTTTTATAAACAAAATTTCAGAAGCAGCATGTACATTCTTATTTTATATAATGCAGGAACAGAATACAAGCACCAGCAGCACCCAAGCCAGTATTCTGGCTAATTTTATTATTATTTTTTTTTTTTTTTTCCCAACCACAGCTGAGGGATACTTGCTCAAGTCAGGAAATTCACTCTTCTATGAAGTCACTGGATCACCTGGGGATATGTCATATTTTCTCTGAGTTAATAAAGAAGCTTCTGTACTTGCTTAGTCTCCTTGTCTTAGGAGAGGTGAAGGCTCCTATGTGACAGAAGAATAGAAATGAGTGAAACATCCTCAATGGCTTTGTCCCAACCTGACTTTTCCTAATCAGCACCAAACACAGCCAGCTTCCCCTGTGAAGGGCACACTAAGATTTAGCTGAACTTTTCCTTATCCCCAGCTTAGAAGTGAGTGGATTCCTTCCAGAACCTTCTACCCTTCCCACAGAGACATGCTTCTTTATATCCTCATCTCCCCACTCTCATTTCACCAAACCACTGCCCTTCAGGATGACTGTGTTGGAAAGAAAGGTGTTATAAATGTGGAATGCCAATACCTCTGGCACTGTAGAAATCATCCAAGACACATGTTGTGGCGTCTGACTCTAGGCTGCATCCTACTTTGGAAACCTTCACTGTTTTCCTGTAAGCAATTCCAAAACCAAAACAAAACCATAGAAAACAAAACAAACAAACAAATCAGAATTGGTCAGGTCTATGACAGGGAAACAAACAAACAAAATCCAAAAATCCAATACTAGAAAATCCCTCATTATGCTGCTTCATGTTCTCTGTCTAAGCTGTTGTACCAAACCACCACATCAGAGTTATACACACAAGTAGAAAAAGCAATTTCCACAGGGTTAATTTTGTATTTTTCTATCTTGCTGTCAGAGACAACACTACCTTTTGCTGTCTTTGCTGTCTCTTTTATACCCCTGAAGAATTTTGTACTGCATGGGTGAATATTTGTGAAACTTATTATAAATTTGTATAGAGTGCTCAAATCAGAGCAAATACATTGTGAAAGATCGACGAAGGCCTATGAGACCCAGTAGTTGAGTATAACTAGTTTTTATGTCATGCCATACCTACGATCACACAGTTGTTTCCTACAGTTCTCAGCTATACTCTTACCATCCATCTGCAAGAATTGTTTGATGACTTTCAAAATTACCTACCTTTTAAAGGGGGCTAGCAGAATGCTTTCTTTGGCTGAGATACACACCTATACCAGATACCCTCTAACTCCACATACTAGCTAAAAGCTAATATAAAAACACCGCAAAGGACAGGCTAATAAAATCACGCAATGAATCAAGAAAGAAAGAAAAAAAATCCCCTCACACTTGTTTACAAACAAGACATTTGACCTCAGATGTTGAAACAGCATTCCCAGAGGGAAAAAACAGCAAGGATGCTGTTAGAAGTCCAAAGGAATTTCTTCACGCCACATCTGTGAATAATCCCATTATCCCTGGTATGCAATATGTTGCTTTAACCTGACCATTATTCATCATTTCTACCGTGACATCAGAGTATGACTCTGTTCTTTCCTGGCTGGCCAAGTAGCCAGCTCCAGGATGCTTGATGTGACCTTCCAGCCCACTCTCAAGGCCAGTCCAAATAAATGTGCTTTGAATGTCAGCACTTGGTGTAGGGCCTCCCCTTTCCACTACAGTCCATGAAAACCCCCTTCTTCTCAGAGACCCAGAAAGGATAGAGGTGAACCCATGATTCTTTAGACAAAGCTGTAGATAGAGGTGTAGTGGGGTATTTTCAAGTGAGGAATGTGGTGTTAGAGCTGGCTCCTGCAGGTGAGAAAAGGAGACAAATCGTGCATCATGCATGTGAGAGCACATGGAAATTGCCAGACATCTGGCAGACAGGTTTCTCTACCACAGTGTAACTAAACAGAACTTCTCATCCAAAAATCAGTAAAAAGAAACCTTTTCTAAAAAAAAAAAGGGGGGGGGGGGCATGTTATTCATTTCAGTCAAGACACCTACTTACTTGAATTACTGAAGCATTACTGAAATGGTTTGGCTCAATAAAATGCCAACTATAAGGATAAGCAAGTAAATGAAGACAAATAGCTGAGTACAAAGTTAACATATACTTAAGCAGCAGGTTTACCAGCCACTGAGTCAATGAGATAGAGACAGTTACACTAATTAAAAAATTATTAAAAATAACACAAGGCTTCTCCGGGCTTACCTAATTACAACGTCAAACATGGCCATGCAAAACTTCTTGGCATGTGAGGACTTGATGATCTAAGAAGTTTTGATGTGTGGAGAAACAGCATCACTGCAGAACAGTGTCATAATTTAGCTTAAAACCCGGGGAAAGTTGGAGTTGTAAAATGGCAGCAATAGTGTTGTTGCTACTGCACTCACTTTGGGTTTATAAAACACTAGCGATGTGATAGAGTCCTGCCCCTCCCCAAACTGAAACTATAACATAACAATTAACTTTTGCCCGGGCAAATCACTGCTTGAAGTCATACTAAAATCAAGGTGATTGCTAAACATATGTGGGAGATCAAGAGCAAGAAGCACGTTACACAATTTCTGTCCAAATGCAGCGCAAGCTGTGTGGCAGCCTAACTGCTCATGAGCATTTTACTCTTAAGCAATAGCCAAAGAGGGGAAAACCAAAATTAACAAAGAAAGATCCCAAGCTAAAACCTGTCTGAGCTTGTGAGGGCAGCCTTTGATCGCTGTATTGGTTTAATGTGGCAAGGTTTTGGTAGCTGGGGGTTGCAGGGGTGGCCTCTGAGAAGAGTCCAGAAGCTGCTCCATGTTAGATGAGGGCCAGTTTTAGCTGGCTTCAAAGGGACCTGCTGCTGGCCAGAGCTGAGCCAGTAAGTGATGTTGTTTGTGCCTCTGTGAGAGTACAATTAAGAAATATTTAAGAAAGGAAAATGCTTTTTTTTTTCTTTCCTTTCCTTTTTTTTTTTTTTTTTTCTTCCCATTTTGTGAGTTGTTCAAAATACCAAAGGTGGTAGCTGGCAATAACATTTATCACTTCCAAGCAGTCTGTCAGACACTATGAGGAAATGAAACAGGAACACAGTGACAATGTTAGTCTAGCAATTGCCACCAATTCAGTTTTCTCATCTGTTAACATGGTCTACCAATCTTGAGGTCCACCACTGAATCCCATTGTGCAGAGGCCACTATACTGACGTATGGTCACTCTCTGAACGTGATACCGGGCACACTTGGAGTGTGACAGCTTACTGTGATGTACAAGCAACACGCAGCCTGCCCCAAATTTAAGAAACATCAAATCCACCTGGGATTTAGCACCTGAGACTAAACTCGTACTTACGTCCCCACCTAGTGGCAACAGATACTGGTTGCAAGGCAGAAAAGGAATGCCTTGTGGCTAGGCATGGTTCGATAGCCACCCAGCAGGGATGCATAAGGCATGTCCTCTTGGCTTGGTAACCCTTGTCACGAAGTTTCTAATCTCACACCGGATTCCCTGCCTCCAGTTCTCCTGCCATAACAAAGAAAAAGGGCTCAAAAAAAATCCCGTCCTTGTCAAAATAATCAAAAAGTGTACTTGTTTCCAGCACCTCAGCATAATAGCATTCCAAAGACTTTATTTAGGACAGTACAGAAAGAACCTCTGCTCCAGCACTCTACTCCACCACCAGTTTAGGAAATCTGCTTGTCCTATTGTAGGAACAACATCTGCTTTTCACTCTTGCCTCTGCAGGAGAAACTGAACATAAATTCGTTAGTTTCATAGACCCTGCTGGTAAATTTTGGATCAGGTCTATAAGGAAAACAGGAGGTAGGAGGTGTGGGCTGCTGTGAAGATCAGAAAGGGGAAACTGCCTTTTTTTTTTTTTTTTTTTTTTTAACAAATTCATTTTCTTGGGAAATAGCAAAGTCTTTTTTCTTTTCTACAGCAAAGTCTTCTTGACCATGGCTTGATTGCTCAGGCTGTACAGACAACGTCTTTATGAAGTTTTTATGCACACTATTTAGAGTTTATGGTGAGAATTAACACTGATGATTACATGATATTATATTTGCACTGTATGTCAAAAGCATCCGGTATTACCTGGAGGTCTCTACTTGGCTAGTCCCATAGATTATTTTTTTTTTCCCTTCACTTCAGAAGAAAGTATTTTCTGATTTTGGTGATACGCTCTTGTAAAAGTTCTTTCTCCTTATTTTTTTTTCTAATTGCTATTTGTCAGAGATATCTTTAAATATACTTATCAGTTAGGGAGGGCAAATCTCAGGGAGTGCAAAACCAAATAAAATGCAGCTGAACTTTACCAGCTGAGCCAGACTCTCTCTGTCACAGCAGCCTCTATACACACACTGTTTCTGGGTGTGTCATTTTGAGCATACAATTTTTAACACCCCCTCTGCATGCATTGTTTCACCTCCAGGAGATGGCTATACCAGGCTGGTTATTACTTACACTGGGTGATGTATGTGGTCATACTAGCGCAGAGCAGGGAAGTGCAGCATGTTGCATCCCAAGCATTACAGAGGGTTGTGTATTGAACCCAACATCAGCTTCTGGGATGCCCAGAAGCAACGAAAGCAGTTGAATTAGGAAGATATAGGAAGGTCAAAGTGCCAAAGAGCAAGACCTCACTAGAATGACTCCTGAGAATAGTGATGAGCTCTACTAACAAATAAGCAATCTTTGCCCTTCTTTTTCTCTGTATCTCAGCTTCCACATCAGGGTGTGGGCTTAGCAATTAAACTGCTAAAGATCAACAGCTGTACAAGGAGAGAGAATGGCATTGCCACCCTATCCCACAGTAAGCTATATGGTCCTAAAAATGCTGCTTGGTGAAACTTTCATACACTTTTAAAACCAGGCAGAATCCAAACAGCAGCTGGCAGGACTGCATCATGTTTAAAGACATGTAGGAACAAGAACAGTGTAGGAAATGATTTTTTGTTATTGTTTATTGTTAAAACAGCCTCTTCACAAAGCACAGAAGGCAAGGAATTTCATATTCATATTTCATATATGAAATTCCAGTATTTCATATTTAAAATGTTCAACTTTTATTGATCAACTACATGCAAGCAACCAAGTTAATTCTTTTGTCTGGAAATTTCATTCATTACGTGTGTGAATTTAATCTCACAGCTCCCAACCCAATCCAAAATACTGTGAAATCTTACCCAGAGCAGACTGTGGTTATGATCTCACAGCCCATTCTCAGAGAAAGTTGGCAGCCCTGTATGCACTTCTGCCTGTCCAGGAGATGGCTGGCAGTGAAAGCAATGCAAGGAGGCAAGGTTGGCTACTCAGAGCAGCCCAGATTTCCTCTTCCAGTTTTTTTATCATCCACGTGATTGTTCTTACCAGCTCTGAACATTATAAAAATGTGTGTTATGAGCACTAAAGATGAAAACCACACAATGGGAAATTTGCACCTAGGCTCTGTGTTACAAAATCTATAACATTTACATTAATCTTGCTGTAGGAATCCTTGCTCTACCATGAGAGGTTTGTCACTAGCTACAAAGAGAGCAAAAGTTAGCCTTCATGGTAAAGGCTGTCTTGTGGTTGTCTAGCTGCTCTGCAGAGTTATTCCCAAAGTAAGAAGGAAGATCTTCTCATATTGGGTCCTACTGCCCTATAAATTTATTAATTTCTTAGGCATTTACCAACTGTGTTAAATAAGCACTTTGAGAGTGAATGGCATTTGACAAATTGATTTATCACAGAAATTAACATCCCAGCTGAAAGTTGTTCAGATGTCCTTAAAAAATATAGCTGCAACAAAGCTCTTGATTAGCTGCTCTATTTGGAAATTCTGCTTTCTGGAGCCCAGAAAAACTCAAGAGTCACAGCAGAGGCATGTTTTGCAAATCTTGTTTTGACTAGTTTTTACAGACTTCTTTACTGGGCTTGTTCACTGCTATGAAGGCTATTGCCTAGGAGAGATCTGGAGCTCAGCAGAGCTGGTCAGGGAAAGAGTTTTCTTCAGAAAAAAGGTATAGATTTTTTTTTTTTTTTTTTTTTTTTTTTTTTAGTGAAATTTTAACACACACACACCATTTCAACTGAAAAACAATTATTTCAACTCTGAAATTCTCTCACCATGTCTCACTGGCATTTTGGCCAGATGATTATTGTTCCTATTTGCTTAACTTCATTATAACCCTGCTGACAATCTGAGGTGTGTGATGTGAGATCTTCCCAGCAGGTTCAAAGAAATATCTATTCTCTTGTCCAAGGCACTGACACAAGCTCATCTACAACACAGTGTGCAAAATTTCTGCTTCATAAAAGATTATTTCACATGAGGACAAGTGCAGAAAAGAACTAGCAAGATGAAGTAGGGACAGGATAGCTCAGTTTAATGTTACAAAATGAAGAATGAAAATAAATTTTAATTGCTTACTGCTGCAGCACAGTGGAGGGAAGAAGAAGAGAGAGAAGAGACCTATAACGTATGGAATGATATTAGCAGAAAACATTGAATTGGTCTAAGTGGCCCATGATTAATATTGGGGTGGAAATAATAGGAAAATTTAAAAAACATCAGAAAAAAAGCAGAGTTCTGGAGCAGTTTTTTGAATGGATCGATAAATACAAGAAACCCAATAAGTCTGAAAATGGATTATGTGATAGGTCTGCTGTAGCAGCAGGAAGGAGCTCAGGGGACCCAGCAGATTTCTTCCTGTCCCCTGTCCAAGGGCAGGTGCAGCAATGAGACACATGACTCAGCAACCCCAGATCACAGAGATTAATGGGGAATGAGTTTACAAATCGAGAATTTTTGAGTCTGGGACTTCCTCCTTTTCAATAAAAGAGGAATTATCCATGGGAAACAGGCAGGTTCCATGGACATGTTCATTTCTTGACTAAATGAGCATGTTCGTGGAAGCTGTCTGCTGAGGGTAAAAGCGAGAGGAAATGGAAATGTCAGGGTGCGGTTGGGCCTCGGGCTGTGGGACCTACACATCCCGCCAGGAATAAAAGTCTCAGGAGAGGAAAGGGTGCTGTTATGAGGTGTTTGGACTAGAAAAAACAGTGTTAAACATAAACCCAGGGTACAGGATGGGAGGCAGAGGGCAGTCCCTGTGGCCGAGGGGCAGCCTTTCTCTCTGGCAAGCCAAACGGCCCGGGGGAGCCAGCCCCAGAAAAGGGGCCCTCAGCCCCCCAACCTTCCTCCTTGTCCATGTGAGAGCATCTTCCAGGCTGCTCCCAACAGAGCTGCCTTTGGCCACATGTGGGCCACTCCATTGCAGAGGCTTGCTGAGGTCACAGCGGCCACCACTGCCCCACCTTTGGTCCAGGTCCTATAAAACAGGCCCCCTGCCACTGTCCCACCATTCACTGAGCATCTCGGCCCTCTGACTGCCAGCTTGTGAGGCAGGAAGGGGACCAGAAGAGCAAGGCGAGCATCAGGCCTCTTGGTGTGTGAGGACAGCCATGCAGTTCGGTGAAGCACCAGGAGGGAATGCACCTGACCAGAAGGAGAGATGTCGTGGGTGGAGGGATGGCACCGGTGGCACAAGAGACACCAGTGCCTGAGGGACCGCTAGTGCCCAGCCCACAGACACATACAGGTGGTAGCACTGGCACCACAGTGATGCGGGGAACAGGCTGGCCTTGCCATAAGAGCAACCGTGATGTGGGATGAAGGCAGGAGCATCAGGCAGACAGCCAGGCGGAGCAGAGGCATGCTCATCGTCCAGAACACAGTGCGGGACCCTGGCAATAAAGAACTCTGTTGCTGATTCTCAGGGGTTGTGGGAGTGCTTCTTTCCCATGCTCCAGCCCTTATGCGAGAGGTGGCATCCCTTCTGCACAGAGCCTCGAGAAGAGCACCCAGCTCCCTTCGGGCTGCTGCACTGGGGTGACAGGAGTCCCTGAGGGCCACCGTGCACCTTTAACACTTGTGAAAATAGACTGAGGGGTGAAAATAGTAGTGCATAAGCGAGTATAGGTGGCTAATTTCTTATATTAGGAGTGAGTTTCTATAGCTGAGTAATTGATAATGACAGACATGGAGAAGGCTGAGGTACTCAACAACTTCTTTGCCTTTGTCTGCACTGGTAGGCGGGCTTCCCAAGTCTTTAATTTCCCTGAATCTGCAGATGGAAGCTGTGGGATCAAAGTCCCACCTGCTGTAAGTGAAGAGCAGGTTTGACACCACCTGATGAATCTAAACAAGGCATTCGGGTGATATCCCTGGTGAGTGGAAAAAAGGAAATGTCATGCCCCTACTCAAGAGAAGGAAAAAGGGTCTGGAGAGTCAGTTTTTACTGTTTTTCAATTATTTTGATCACTATATATATAAAAGAAGAAATGGAGTTTTATCCACTGCAGCATATTCCTTCTCTCCTACTTGCCTTGACTTGAGTCACAGAAAGCTCTGTACATCTTATGCACCTGTAAAAAATTTCTTCTTTTTGCGTCCTCTGACATCTTCCACATTTTTGTCACCTACAAGTGCCTTGGGAAATGTAGTTCAACAAGCTTGAGTTTGCACAGAATTCAGCTGTGCTTTATTTCAAACAGCTTTTTAAAAGTTTCACTTTTACACAGTGATCTCAGCCACAAAAATCAGATTTGGTTTGTGATCTCATACTGCCCACTGGTCAGGAGTTGCTCCAAAAATGTTCCATAATTCTGGGTTGCAATGCAGCTTTTAGGTGATGTCAGCTAGTCAAAAAAACAAGCCCATGTACATAAACACAGATGTACAACATGCTTCCTGCTGCAGAAGGAAACAGGATTCTCCATGCCTGGAAGTTTCTGTGGGAAGCAGCAGAGGCAGCAGCTCTCTTTCAGTGCATCCTTGCATCTCGGATCCTGGCTGAACAAAAAGAATGTGTGCAGATCTGACCCAGACATGATTGATTGCTCTGATTTATCCTTGACGTTGTTGGTTTTTTTATTATTTTTTATTTTTTTCCCCCTCCACACTCTGCTTTTCCTGCTGTAGCTGCCAACTGATTTAGTGGTCTGTGCTAACTCAGAGAGACTGTAAGGTCATTTTTACTGTCTCTCTCCCACACTGTGCCTAATGATTTGGAGTCGCAGCACCCTTGCCTATAAAAGGGAACATAAAGCAGTGGGAATTGCTGCCACTTGCTGTGCCTGTCCTCAGCAGAGACAGGGAAGTCTCCATGCACAGATAATCCTGTTTATGTTTTGCAGTCCATAGGGACTCTTCTCTATTCAGAGTAGAATGGAAAAATGATCCCTCCTCGCTCTGTCAGCACAGTCTAAGAGAAAACTTACAGGTCACTGCCAACGGGATGAAGACATTTTTACCTGTCTAGGAGTAAAAATAAGGGGACTTGAGTTTGTCTTGGGGCAGCCATGTTGATCTTTGCTATCATTTGCTTTTTACAGAGGTTAGCAATGGCCAGAAAAATCCTTACAAGTAGGATCCCTGACCTTCCCAGTGACTAAGGTGCTCATTTTCAGATTCTCTGCTGCCCCATAAGACTGTTACTGCAATTAATCAAATAGAAACATCCCTGCAGAAGCATCTCAGTTTTTGAGTCAGCCTCATAATTAATATTCAGACACGGTCCTGAGTGTCTTGTAAGCACTTGGATTTTTTTTCTCCTCTTGGATGTTAGTTATGAAGCTATCTAATCTTCAAATACAGACAGAACTTGTGTGTTCTTCAACTGTTTTTGTTTGTTTTTGCTTCAGTCATTTTTTTTTGTTTTTCATTTTAATTTTTCTGTTGAGCATATCTTCAAACTGCTGTCATTTATTGACCTTCTCATGGCATAAATTTGTACAACATCCCCAAACCCTGCAGCAAAAGAATGCTATTTAATCTGCATAGCCAAAAAGTCACAAGTAAGGAGGACCTATAATGAGGGCTGTCTCTAAAGCTTTAACTTGACCCCAAAGGCAGATCCATCATTTTACAATGACATGATCATACACTATTTTTCTCCAGAGAACTCCTGAGTAATTTACCACTTGAGGAGTGCTTTCATTTCTGTTGCTAAGCATCTGAGTCTGAGCCTTGTGTGGGGCCATCAGACTGACTTATTTGCTGCACAAGACTCAGTTGGAGGGCTGTGGAAGGACAACCTCTGTTTGTCCCATCCCATCCCTTACCACTGACCCCAAGTATACCCATTTTTTTTTTTTTTTTTTTTTTTTTTTTTTTTTTTACCAAAGCCTGGAGATGGTTAGAAGCCCCAGATACACTTGGTTCCTACAGCTGGCTGAAAAGGGGGCGGGGGGGGAGAAGAAGTGTTTTTAATGCCCTCCTGCAAGGACAGTCACACACACTTGCCCCTTCACAGACACCAGATACTCCCTTCAGAAATCCATGTCCTTATGCATAGAACCAAGTAAATACTGTCATAGGATATATTGAGTTGGAAGGAAACCAGAAGGATCATCAAGTCCAACTCCTGGCTCTACACAGGACCACCCAAAAATCAGACCATGTGTCTGAGAATGTTATCCAAATACTTCTTGAACTCCCACAGGCTCTGTGCCATGACCACCACTCTGAGGAGCCTGTCCCAATGCCCGACCACCCTCTGGGTGCAGACCCTTTCCCTAACCCCCAGCCTGACCCTCCCCTGTCCCAGCTCCATGCCGTTCCCCTCGGGTCCTGTCAGCTGTCCCCAGAGAGCAGAGCTCAGCGCCTGCCTCTCCGCTCCCCTCGTGAGGGAGCTGCAGGCCGCCATGAGGCCTCTCCTTAGTCCCCTCTTCTCTAAGCTGAACAAAACAACCTCAGCAGCTCCTCACATATCTTACCCTCTAGACCTTTCACCATTTTGGTGCCCTTCTAATGGTCTCTAATAACTTTATATCCTTCTTATATTTTGGTTTCCAAAACTGCATACAAGTGTCCTTTGCTGTTCTGTGCTGGAAATGTCTGGTTTATCTTGGAATTCCTCATTGCCATATTAAAGCTGGCCACTTCTGATTATTTGGTTTCCTTGTCAATATTTTTTTTTTCTTTCATCTCCCTGGGGCAAAGCAGTGTGGAGTTTATTCCTTCTGACAAAAGGTCAAATCTGCAGCGAATAGTAAGATGACTTCTCACGATGAAATCCCATGGGTGGCTCCGGGGCTGGAGCACGCAGGAACTTCCATAGCACTTTGTGGTAAAGCTCCCTCTTGATGGGCTAGAAAAGGGATAATGGCTCTGCAGAGCAAAGAGGTCTAAAGTCTCATGGTATTCTCAGGAGGCACTGAGGGAAAGAAGTTAAAGACTGCATCATTTGTTGATCACCATTATTCTGACACGTGCAAAGAATGGGAATCTTGTCATCCCCAGTCAGCACACCAGAAGGAAGGGATGCCATCCAAAGGGACCTAGACAAGCTAGAAAAGTGGGCCCATGTGAACCTAATGAAGTTCAACAAGTCTAAGTGTGAGGTGCTGCACCTGGGTGCAGCCCTGCAGAGAGCTTGGGGGTTCTGGTGGACGAAAGGCTTGACGTGAGCCAGCAGTGTGTGCTTGTGGCTAGAAGGCCAACTGCATCCTGGGCTGGATCATCAGAGGGGTGGCCAGCAGGTGGAGGGAGGGGATTGTCCTCTACTCTGTCCTTGTGAGGTCCCACGTCGAGTACTATGTTTCAGTTCATAGGGCCTTTGGGCTTTTACCTCTGTTTCTGACGTGGTCACTGAGAACACAGTTATGGCTTAAATACTGTGAATAAAAGCTACCCAAAATATGATTTTGTCTTGACTGAAGCCTTCTGTGGCTCTCTGGCCTATGGCCTCTCATGGAAATTGAGCCAAGGATAGCAACTTCCCCCAGAATGGACTTTAAGACTGTCAAGGGCAAGCAGGGAAGAATAGTCAAAGCACTGGAGGAAATAATATTCCTGGTGTTTGTTGACAATTCGGATGCTATGTTTTGGCAACACTCATAAATAGAGGGCCACAGCAGCCTGAAAACAAGGCTCCAGAACACTGTCAGAGATTTGCCATACTGGCTCTCAGGAGGTTGCCTGTGTCACCAGCACAGGTAGATGCAGCAGCTCTCCTGCACTGCTGCTGCTGGCAGGAGAGGAGCAGGGTGAACCTCTTTTACTGCCCACTTCTCATTTCACTCATCAAGCCCACTATTACAACGCAGAGCTCGTGTCCTGCTGTCCTGAAGACAGTAGATGGTGCTATTGATAGCACTATTCATGCACATGTTTATCAATGAACGTATACTCAGATGACTAATATTAAATGCTTCATGTTTTCCTCGTATTCATCATCCCAGGGAACCTCAGGGCACTTGCACAAGTTCAAAAATAGCATTTTTGTGTCAGGCCATGCTTGACCTTGGTGCAGCCTGCCCTTTTATGTGTCCCCACAGACCTGCTCCAGAGAGAAAACAGGGAAAGATAACAGACTGCTGATAAGTAGCAAAGAGCCTTGTTACAGCCGAGTCTCACTGAGACTTTAAGGATAATTTCAGCAAGGTGCAAACAGCCAGGTCAGAATCTGGCAGGGCTAATCTAAGTGAAACTAATCTCCCAGTTTTACAAGAGAGTCTTTAACAACTTGAGGTCAGGCTGTCATCTCCATAATCACTTGGGAAGTGCTGCTCTCAAAAGGCTGCACTGATTACCCCATTGGTACATGAGGGCTGCTCTGCTGCTTTTCAGAAAAGGGACTTGTGGTCTTGGTCTCATTACAGTAATTGACTATTATTACTCACAAAGTAGCAGATTAGGGAAAAGCCCTGGATCCCAGTGGGGCAGATGCTGTGCAAAGACAGCTTTTGCCGGAAACAATTTACAAAGGCAACCCTCCTCCCCACCCCCAGCCCGCAGAAGTGAAACAACATCAGCAGTATCAAAACGTTGAAACCACTCATTTCTGACTCCCAGATCGGTCATGTTTACAGGAACCAGATAAGCTTTTCTACCCTGTAGAAAGCTGTCATTACAATCAAGAAATGCACATTCTAGCAGAGAGGCTAATGAAGGAATGGGCCAAGGTACACAAAGAATTGTCCCCGAGTAACATGGAACCAACACACAAAGTACCAAGACACTCTGCAAAGTGTTTTGTATCATCAGGCTTAGAGAAAGACATCGGAGGCCCCATGTCAGTGCCTATAGGAAAGACAACGCTTATCTGAGAGGAAGAGATGCTCAGAGCTGAGTTTCAGCTTGTCTGCCCACCTTAAGTCTTCTGTGTTCTAAAATCAGTGCTTCAGGCTTTCCAAATGAATCCAAACAGACACATCCAGCTTTGTAAACTGCATACCAAGCATGGGAGGGTCAGTCTTGTCCAGTTCCTAGTTCTCCTTAAAGTCACCACTCTTAGGTGTTCTCTTATTTTCTATCATTTTCCTTTGCTAGCAGCAATTCTTTAAATTGATCTTTGAATGTGTACAATTTTGTACTCTGTAGATGTCTCAGAGAAGATTTAAATAGCAGCAGATTGTGTTTCAAGCATTTCACATTGGTGGAAATTAAAGGCCTATTTCCTGAAGCTTTTAAATATGTGTTTAACTTTGGGCACATGAGTAATGCTATTGATAACAAGGGGATAATTCATGTGCTTTGCTGTATTGCTGCCCAACAGCTGTGCAGACAATACAAATGGCTTGAGTGATATTCATAAGGTTGTTCTATGTTTTTTTCAAAATAAGACTACAGAAGGTAAATAGGTTGGAAACATGTTTTTTCAAGGGGTAAGGGACCTAGTGACAAAGGACGTAGAAAAGGCTGAGGTATTTAAACTCTTCTTTGTCTTGTTCTTTACCAATGAGACCAGTCTTCAGCAATAAGGCCCCTGAGACCTGAAGGAAACTAGAGCAAGGAAGACATTCTGCTCATTCTGCCATTCTCAGATGCTTGCTTTTGTGCAAAAAGTCCTTTCTGTTGACAACTACACTAAGGATGGTTCTGTAGTTTCCTCTTCTTTCACTAAGGCAGCAAATACCTTTTAAACTTGCAGGAAATGCCAGTAAAACTCCTAGAGTACTTTCGGTCCCTCTAGTAAAGGTTGAATCATATTAACACCAAGATGCTGGGAATCCTGAAGTGGTCTTCGAAATATTGTCTCTATTGGTGAATCAAAGGCCAAGTTCTCCAGATGTGACAAATCACCAGCTTTCTGCAGGCCTACCTCACTATCTGGAGGAAGGTTTAAACTGATGAAGCTGCACAGAATCTCAGAAGAAAAAGAAAGGAAGGTTTCTATGGCAAAGCATCCATAGTAAGAGTATTAGTCTTTGACAGGTTTCAGTGAGAACCCTCAAACTCATCTCAGCCATTTTCCAGCCAGTACCCATTCAGTTCAGCCTCTAATTCTAACATCTGTTGTATTGTATACAAAGTGTATATGTGTGTTATTTTCATGAATACTGAATTTCGCCCTAAACCTTCACAACACCAGAAGTATCAGACTAGTACCCATGCAAGCCCTGCATTAGCAACAAAATATTTGAATCAAAATTTACTTCTGTAAGTCAAAACCAGCAACTTTTGCAAGGAAACTGAAAATAAGAAACGTTGCTAGCAAGTCTACAGAAAGGCCCATTGTGAAGTGACCAGATTAGCAGCCTTCAGGTTGGCTGTTAGTGGCTTCATTTTTCCCTTGTGGTCTAACACAGAGGTGGTCCACCACTACTTAAGGCAGGGTGGCTTGTGATTTTGTTACACTATCAGCATGGAAAATGGATGCTGCCAACAGCAGCTCTCTCTGTGCAGAAGACCACACAAAAACAAGCACTAGGAGATTTTGTTCCATCAATATGAATGCTCCCTCTGCTGGCACCAATGCCCGTACCATTGTTTTCGTCTTTGGGAGCCTCAAACATTGTCGAGAAGTGAGTCAGTAAACTTGATTTTCTCAGGCCCTGGAGTTTAGGAGCCAAAATTTGAGTTGCAGTTTTAAGCTACTCTTCATTTAAAAGATACTTGTACTCATGAACAATGCTGAATATTGCCCTCCCCTTAATTCAAAAGAGGAGTCAATATTAGAGAGAACTCCCACCTAATGTTTCTTTTTTCCCCCCTCCGAATTCCCAGTGATATAAGCAAACCAGAACAAAGAAAAAGCTAGGCTGAACCCCAGCTGATTCATAGCACTTGCAAATAAACATTAATAGCATGCATTGTAGCCTAATTCTGCCAGTGTTAAGTATCAGTAGAGCCATTGCTGAACTGAACTACATAGAGGCTGGGCTTTGTGCAGTCGACATTTTGTGGAGTCAGTCCAGCAAGACAAAAACTGTTTTCTAACTCTAAATGTCATGGCTAAGCAGTCTGAGAGAATAACCTTCCAGGTACTAAATGGATGTAGTTCCACTGAAGCAGATGTTAGGAAATCAGCTAAATTTCTGCTCAGTACAATAGTGAGTTCAGTGCTTGCTTTTCCTTGTTCATCAGTTTTAATTTCAGTTTCAGCTATTCGTTTCTACTGAGGGAAGAGTAGGAACAAAGTTTGCTACACTGAATGAAGAAGGATTTAGTGAAAGTGTCACAGAGTGTGCATGTTGCCTCTTCACTTAACACGAGCAATTACTTGACTGTATTTGACCTGTCTGAAATATTCTAAGTGGCTTTGCAGTTATGCACAGTATTTTACCTCCTGATTACAGGTTTCTGAATCACGTAGGAAAAAATATAGAGGCTCAAAAATTAGAAAATAGTGAAAAGTAGTTTATATGCACCATCATGGAGACGTAATGATTTTCTGACATTGCTTTAAATGCTTGCGATGGGCAGTACTGACACAAAATAAATGGAAAACTATACAGGATTAGCTTTGTATACCCACTGGACACTTGTTCTGCTTAGCCATGAAGTTGATCACTGTGTAGGTACTGTATCTCTTCCTATCATAGCTGATTTATTAAATTTTTTGCTCATAAGTGCCTGTGCATCAAACCATAAATCACAGTAGTTTGTGTCTCTTCCACAGCCAAGCCAAGGTCCAAAGTACCGGGTCTGGATGACACTGACCTGCCAGAGCTGCTGTCAGGTATTAGTGTAATCTCAAAAAAAAAAAAAAAAAAAAAAAAGGCACATGAGGCATGAGCAAAGCCTTGATACCATGGTAGTGCTTTTCTATCAATCATTTCAAAATTTTAATCACCAAATGTTTGAAAATGAGAAACGATTGTGGTTGTGCAGCCCACTGCAGCAGGGTAAGTAGGAAGAGGCTGAGTATAAAAGTATTTAGAATATGCACAAAAAGAATGACAGCATTTAATGAACTGAAAACATTGCCTCAGATAGCTGCTGAAATAGCACAGCTCATGGTTTCAGGGGTGGAGACAGAACTGAACCACTGCAAGGGTACACTTCTAAAAAAACAAAAACAAACAAACAAACAAAATGTTAGCAGTGTTTATAACTTCTTTCCATAACTCACTTGTCTGGCTAGAAATAAGAGTTTTAAACACTTACTAAATGTTTATCATTTTCCTGGACTCACTGATTTGGTGGCACTTGTGTTCAGTAGCTGAATCATGCCTTTTCCTTCTTCCAGTGAGAGACCAATAAACTTATCTTCTTGGTTTATGCAAGAGATCCTATTGCAAAAATATACGGCCTAGCTCAAACTGAAATAATAAGATTTATAATAACATTGCTGACCATGATGATGTAGTGTGGCCTTCAAAATATAAGATGAGGATGATGATACTTTAATAGTCTTTTAAAAGCAGGCAGCTAACAAACACTGTTTTGAAAGTAGTAATTAATACGCAGAACAGCACATATTCTATCCAAATTGGTTTCTTTGATTTCTACAGCTTTTGTATCCTTTTTTTGGAAAATGATCTCTAAAGAACAGTGTTTCTGGGGGGGGTGGAACAGTTTTCATGATATTAAGAAAACAGGAATTTCAATGCGAAAACCACACAAGCATGCACTCACTGTTCTGTGCACACTTCAGTGTACCTCTTAGGATCAACACGTTACAGAGCGTACCTTGGCATTAAGGCTGGGTACTGTCTTAAAATCCTTCTTGGAACCAAACCTGGAAACTGATGGGAATATTTAGGGAAGTCATAATGATGGAAAAACAACCTGAAGTATAAGAGACACTTCCAGGAAGCAGAGAAGAGTCAGATTTGGTGATCAGTGAAATGAGGTTGGAGCTCTGTTTGTAATGAATATGTATCTGGTTCAAACCATAAGAGTTTTTAAATAAATTTTAAATAAATTTTGCTCTGGGATCTTTTATCAAAATAAAATATTTTGTCTAGTTTCCAAAGCACTCCAGATACAACAGTGGACAGCCACTGACATGTGCTGATAGATGGCTGCTGTGGTATCTATAACAGGGCATCTGTCACAAATATCCCGGGGCTGTTTCTCACTGCTGTTGTTTTAAAGATGACAGAACATGTTTTCATTCAGAAAGGTTGTCTATTTATATCCCCTGGACACAGCTTCTTTCAGTGCTCCATGGAAGCTTTAACCGAGCAGGAAGGAGGCCTTTGTAACCTGAAGGATGCTCTCCCCAAAGAAATATCAGGTACAGGCATCTCTGCCTGGGAAGGCATGGGTGGGCAAGGCTGAAGTTCGGGCTAACCCATAAATGTTGTTAACCCACATGTTAACCCATAAATGTCCTGGTTTTTGAAACACACTACTCAGATGATGTGTTGCTGCCTGCAGGTTCATCTTGCACACACCACAGCTCAGACACCTGACTACTGTCACCATAGGAAGCCACTTACGAGCTATCTGGTTTTTAATTGAGCCTTAAGCTGACAAAGACTTGTTCCTGACTTTTATTCTGGTGGAAATTTAAGGGAAAAACAACATGTCTTTTTAAGGGAAAGACACAAGGAAAAAAAAGTTTGTGTTTGGATATCTTTTCAATGACTTCAAAAAGGCCAAGATTTTTTCAGTGATCTCAGGGTATTAACATAACTTTCAGGCCATCTCTTTTTTTTTTTTTTTAAATCGATTTCTAATATTTTCACGCCCTGTACACCAGAAACAACGATATTATAAATTAATCCAAATGCAGCTATTTGTACCCTCACTTTGTTTCATCATAGTAAAGTTCTGCCTGAGGAAAATGATGGACTTGCTCTTCCTTTAGCCCTCCCTGAAATTGCTACCTTAAGGCTACAGATTCACTGCAAGACACTTAACTCTTTATAAAGATACACTAAATGAAAATCTTACTAGGTGTTAAAGCAGCAGGATAACTTCATTAAACCACTGCAGGGAAAGGTGCAGAGGAGACCCTCATAGCTTTTGCTTTATGCTCAACAGTAATAACACTAAACAGACATCCTCAGTTTGTCCAATTAAAAAACAAGGAAATCAAAGTGACCTGTCAAGACTCATTGAATTTCCCGCTGCTCACATCATTTTTTCCTGAATATAGATATATCAGAGGAGTTAAAGACATGCTATTAATGCCTATAACAGACTTATGTTCACTCATCTAATTGTTTCTACGTGCTTCCTTGAGTAGTTGGAGAAGCAATTAGCCAGTAGATTTAAGGAGTATCAAAGATGCAACTAAGAGCTAATGCAGCAGTACACTCCTTCCTTCCCACGGAGACAAATGCAGTAAATAAATAAATAAATTGATAATCCAGTGAAGTTTTCTGCAGAGTGGCTATATAATTCAGTCTTGAAACACCCTCTTTCACACACTATCATGGACCACAGACACTTCTGCAACAAGCTGAAGATCTGCAGTAGAAGACAGAAAGCTTTAGAAATCGATGTGCTACGGGGAGGAAGTAGGAGATATTGAAAGAATCATCCCAAACCCACTTGCCCAATGGAATAAACATAATTTAGCCTATGTTTGAAGTACCTTAGCTTCCAGATGCTCAAATCTTCTGGCTGCTTAAACACTGAAACCTTGAGCTTCTTGTCTCCTCAGGGCTTAGGACTGCCACCAGGGAACAGACTCTGCTACTCCTCCGTGTTGAGGAGCTTGGGGAGGTGAGGCAGGAGGCTTTGGGGATCAGAGGGAGATCAGAGGCTGGGCTCCGTGTCTGCCTCCTGTGGTGTGAAGATTCCAGGTGTTCAAACAGACACAGCAAACAAGCTCCAACAAAACCTGGGTAGAAACAGTATGCTACATGGGGAACCAATTAAAGGAAGGGGCAGAGACTTTGCAGAGTCTGTACCTATTTTGCCCCTGTGGGTAGCACTAATAGCCCTATCAGCCTCTTGTAAATGCTCATTCTCTGTGCTTGGGTCTCCAGAAGAAGCTCACTCAGGAGGCTGAGCCCCTTTGTGCTAGGTGCTGTCTCTGTGGCAGTTTTCCCTACCTTTCTGTGCCTGCAGTTTAGGACTGGAATGAGACAGAAGAATGAAAATACAGCCAGAAAGTGAAAAAAAATAGTCAATAAGATGGGCTCCACTGACTCCGAACACTGAATTTATGGCAAAAGATCCGTTAAGATAAACCTCAAAATGTAACAGTGTATGTAGTACCTCCCCCAAAGCACATGGAGTCTGTGGCTCATTGTTCACTATCCACAGGACAGCAGCTTTGCAATTTGGATTCAGGTAGTAGGTGCAGTAGTGTACGGAGTTATTCAGAATCAAAGTCAGTTCATCAGCCTCTATAATGTGAGTGATGGCATTGCTGCAGTCGCTAGTGCTGTGTTCATTAACAGCAGCTGATAATCTGGCCCTTGGGGCTTGATTCAGACACAAATCTTTAATCAACTAAAAACCACACGAGAAGCTGCAGATGTATTTGTGGAGAGCCCATCAATAAGAACAGGAAGAAAGAGGTGAATTTTTTCATGTATTTTTAACAGCTACATTGTTTTTAATTTCTAATCTAACAGCAGTTAAACCCAGGATGTCTCCTCAGAGCAAGCTACACAAACCAGAGTCCCTGTCCTTGTACACAGAAGCAATGCAGTGCAGCTGAGGAGTACGATGCCCATTATTATTCTCGATACGCTGCACTCTCATTACATTCCAAGGGAGCTGTCTGAGTCGATTGCAATGCTCAGAGTGTTCATCACTGCGGACCAGGGGCTGGCTGAACTAAAAGCCAAATACGATGCTGGGGAATAGGTAAATGCAGAATGCAGATTCCTCTGGCATTCAGAAGGAAATTAAGTCACTTAATTTGATTTCCTGGTAAGAATCTCCCCACAGAGCAGTGTTGATGCGTGTTGGTGCCAGAGATCCTCCAGGAGCAACCACAGTTTTGGAATTTCTTTAATCTGACCGTGTCATGGACAAGGATCAGGAGTGATAGGACTTCCAGAGGGCAGTCCTACTGAGAAGATGAAGTATGGGTGGGATTAAGCTGAAGGAAATCCCATACTCTGTGATCCCTACATGTGTTACTAGGAGAAGGACGGATTTTATAGGACATCCCAGTTGGCCTGGGCAGGAGGGAGCTGGGGCTTCTTGGGCGAGGTGGTGGTCCCAGGCAGAGCCGGCTGGTGCCCAGCAGCCAGGCTTTTTCCATCCTGTATAAGGACAGTTCAACCAAAGCCCAACATGAAGGCAGCTCTTCTGAACAGGCTGTACTGTAATGTATCCCTACACAACACCACCAAAGATTGAGAGGTGCCACAAGCAGCTCTGAGCTGTGTCATATGTCTTTTAGTGATGCTATTGCAGATTTGTCTGGAAGATGCTGATGCTTAGGCAGATCCACAGACAAGCATTGATTTATGAACCCTTCCAGAAAGCAGCATCATTTAATGCATTTAATTAATAGAGGTTCCCTGCTCATTTTGGCTGCTTAGCAAAAGGATATGAGGGCTCTCTGCCTCCACTTACTGGAGACCCAGTCTGGAGCGCTTTGCTTTCGGCTGAACTCTGTGAACAAGTGAGCTCAGCCTCTGGAAGGAACTGTAGCAAAGCTACATCTTTCAGACATAGAAAACCTCAGTGAAGAGCCATTCTTCTGCAGGTTTTATCACCAGAAGGGAACCTACCAGTCACCCACCCAGACTGTCTGCCTAATATATGCCAGAGAAACATGTTAGCTAATTTCTGCATCCACTTCACAGGGCTGGAAATTGCTGGTCTTGTCTGAGACACTCCCAAGTGATTTACTTGGGCCATGCTCCTAAACACTGGCACTGATGCTATTTGATTCTTGCCAGCCAGCTTTGCCTCACTATGACTTCCATTCATCATATCCTGGCCAGACCATGAGCTGGTGAACAGCTGAGTGGCTTTAAAAACCACCAGAACCATCTTTGAGCGCTTCACGTGGTGAGGCAACAAGGTTAAAATGCTTGGGCTCAGTAGAGGAGAGGTAAAACATTGTGCAATGCATCCACTGTGTGAGTTCAGCATATTCTGGGTTATCTGGTACCAGAGCAGCACAGAGAAAAATGTTCTCTTGGACCTGAGGTAACAGAGGGTCCAGGCATTTGCTAAGTGACATGGAAGGTTTTCTCTCAAGGAGCCTTTCACAGACACTAAGGCAAGAAATTAGAAGTCTAGTGCTAGGGTACAGAGCCCCACTTGCCTAGATCACCAGCTGAAATCTACCCACACAGCAGTGCCCAAAACTCTTTTGCCTGATGGCTTTGGGATAGCCTGTAATAAAAGGCGTGCCTAAGTATGTAAGAATCAAGATTATCTTCACAATTGCCAGGTTAGCCATTTTGCTGTCAATTTATACAAAGCGGTATCCTTAGGAAGAGCTATGGTCCCGTGACTAACTACTCCCTTTCTAGTCCACTAGGCAAAGAGAGCTCTTCTGGGGCTGGCGAGCATCACCAGAGACATCTGAGAATCAAACCCTGGACCAACATGTTTGTCCAATTTACTGCAAAGTTATTGATCTTGTGAGCAAGAGGCTGTGTACAATCACTATTTCACCACAAGCTAGGAATTCACGCTTGGCTGATGCTCCCTTGGGTTTCAGTGGTTTTCTTAAGGTAGAGCGATACATTTGCAAAATTCTTCAGGAAAGTCATCTTGGAAGAAGGGGGAGCTCAGCCATTAAGTATGCCAGGCATGAGCTGTGGCAGTGGGCACTCAAATATGAAGGCATTTCCTTTGCTAAGAAAACACATTTACCAGTCTGTGATGTTTTGACACTAGCAGCATGCAAGTTGTACAGTTGTGTGGCACTTCTGATTCTCCTGGGCTCTAAGTACAGTTTAATCATTAGTTTGCTGAAATGACTTATTAAGGAGGATGTAAACTTGGTAATTGTGTTGCATAGCTGTGTAGACATAAGGAGGGGCACTCTTCGCAGGATACCTATAGCTTTACAGTGCAAGAGTCCTGCCAAGATCAGCTGTTCCCCTCTTAGTTGTGTCCCTGCCCATGGTGTGTGTGTGGGTTGGAATTAAATGACCTTTAAGATCTCTTCCAACCCAAACCATTCTGTGATTCTATCAATACTTCGTAGAAAAATGAGAAGAATTAGATTTTGAATCACTATCCCTGGAGGTCTTCAAAAAACATGTAGACTTAGAGCTTACTAGCATGGTTTAGTGGAGGACTTTAGTACTAGATTAAAGGTTGGACTAGATGATTTTAGAGGTGTTTTCCAACCTGAATGACTCTATGATAACTCATTAGAAGTTAGGAAGGAAAAAATACTTGCTTTGCTTCCAAGAGAAAGAGTTTTTTCCCTTTTGCTTAAGTAAAGAAGAAAAAAATGACTCAATTCCACCAGTTTTTCTATGCTATGCCACAGCTAGTGTCAGGGGAGGACCAAATTCAGTGCACAGTTATTGGCAATAATCTTTTGGGGCTTAAAATTGATTCTCCAATCAGATATTAATTTGCATTGCAAGAAATGAAAATCTGCTGCCTGCAGATTTAAAGCATACAGCTGCACCAGTTTACACTGAAGGCACAATTTCAAAGCAATCTATGCAGCTTAGAGAGCTTTTTTTCTCCCCCCTTTTCCTCAAACAGAAATAGACACTCTGCAAGGCCAGACACGCTACTTCAGGCCCTGTATGCCAAAGGCCCAGGGCGAGTGAGAAAGAGTTAGCTATCCCTACAACACCATGGCTGGTGCTGCTTACAAGAGCTTTTATTTTGTTTACGTGCAGTGTGTTAGCAAGACACTTATATAGATGTGTGCTGAGTATTCCAGCAGGCAATGTTTTATTCCCAGTAAACAACACATGCAAAGCAAGGATGAGAGCTGAGGCAGAGCTTCATTTAAAAGGCATCTCATTTAAGACAGGTGGCAATCTCACATAACATGCCAAGAACATCCAAATTGCCAGAGCACATTTTTCATTCCTCTATTGGAATCCTAATGCATAAAAAGAGACAATCTCCATTTACATAAGTAAACATTTTTGATTGGCATTTCTCTAATGCTCTGGGAGGTTACCCAGTCAATGTATATCTGCTGCTTGTATCTATCAAAACCCAGCTGACATAATTCTTCTCACAAAAATCAATGAAGACTTACAATAAAGTATCTACCAGGAACTTCATATTTCTTTCTGCAGCTATGTGTCTCTTGGCATGAAAAGAGAAGGAAGCAATAAAACCTCTAGGGGAAATCCTAGCCTTACAGGTTTTTGTGTGCCCCTCTGTTAAGTCCAGACAGCAGTGCTATTTTGCACTCCCTGGGCTTCCCTGAATGGCAGGAGGACAGAAACACACCACAGGCTTAGCTCCTTTATGTTCTTCTTTTACATGGCTCTAACCCTGACTGTTCTTGCAAAGCAAGAGCCGCAAATCCAGTGCAGCATCCCAAATCTCTTCACTTTCTTAAAGAACCAAAGTCTTCCAAAGAAGCTGCACCTTTCCCTTGCTATGCAATAAATACACGAGGCACTCCAGGAAGTGTGGTGCCTTACCTCTGGATCCTTCCATTCAACCCAGACCCTACAGGTTCCCCACCCACCAGGTTCAGGTTTCACAACCCTTTGAACTAACCTTAAATACGGTCACCACACAGGCAAGGATTCCGTATCTCTCATTACTTGCAGCTCCCTGATCCTCTGAACTGTCCTATAGGGTGAGCAATCTTATCAAGCCACCACTGAATACTATGACATCCCTTCTGAGAGGGAGACTTGCCCACCTTTATACCTTTTGGCAATGCAATCACTACTCAGCTGTCACTGTAAGCTCCTTCCTATCCTTTAGCTTGATTTCACCTCCCTTTCTCCAGATGCAAGAAAAAAAAAAACAACAAACAAAACACTCACAGCTGCTTCCATTTACATATAACAATACATAAATGTCTGCCCTGACTCTAACCAGCAATGGTTTTCTATCCTAAATCAGAGTAACTCCTTAAATTCAGCTGCAGGAAGGCTTCACCATGCTAGATGCTGCAGGAACACAAGCAACCAGCAACTTTGTCCATTTGCTGGAGGATCAGCTTACTACATTTGTTGTGTTAACATCAATTACATAGCAGAAAATCCCTTTTAGCCCAGGTGAAGATGTAAGCTGTTGTCCCTTCTCCCACCCATTTCTGTTAATGAGCTGTTGTACCGGTGAGTACTTGAGGTCTCACCTCAAGTACTGTGTGCAATTTTGAACATCACAATGTAAGAAGGATGCATAACTGTTAGAGAGTATCCAAAGGAGGGCTGCAAAGATGCTGAAGGGTCTAGAGGGCAAGGAGTGCCTGACGCCCCTTGGTTTGTTCAGCCCAGAGCAGAGCAGGCTGAGGGGAGGCCTCATGGCGGCCTGCAGCTCCCTCACGAGGGGAGCGGAGGGGCAGGCGCTGAGCTCTGCTCTCTGGGGACAGCGACAGGACCCGAGGGGACGGCATGGAGCTGGGACAGGGGAGGGTCAGGCTGGGGGTTAGGGAAAGGGTCTGCACCCAGAGTTGGTCGAGCACTGAGACAGGCTCCCCAGGGCAGTGGTCACAGCATCAGGCCTGCTGGAGTTCAAGGAGTGTTTGGGACAATGTTCTCAGACATATGGTCTGATTTTTGGGTGGTCCTGTGTAGAGCCAGGAGTTGGACTTGATGATCCTTGTGGCTCCCTTCCAACTCAGGATATTCTATGATTCTGTGATTTTCACCCACGTATTTCAGCCCTTTGGAAAGCACGTCACTTCATTTTTGAAAATCAAACTGAACTGTTTTAATAGTGGTGAAATGACTCTGCAAGAGAAATTAATTCACCCAGAAAGATGTGGAACACCCCAGGAGAAGTATCTAAGACCAGCCCACCCCTTCTCCTACAGATCTTTTTGTTTAATACAGAGCTTTCTCTTTCTTCTGTTTGGAGAGACCTCTCTCTTCTCTCCAAACAAATCTCTGCTCTGTGTTTTTCCTCCCAATTTCCTGCTGAACATGACACACTCTCAGACAGGAACACTAGAACCAAACATCTTTTTCTTCCTAGTATCTGGAAAAGTGATTGGATTTTATTTGTTTATTAAGTATGGGCCCTTCCAAGGAAATAAGCCACAACATTGAAAGGCCCAAATAATTTATTCAAGCAAAGCTTGCAAAACAAACTAAAGAAGTATGAAGTTTTTTTTGTTTTTTTTTTTTTTTTTTTTTTTTTTTTTTTTTTTTTTTTTTCTGGAGATGATGTTGGACGTTTTGCAATAGTAGAGAAGTATGCAATCTGTGCAGACCAGCAGGTAATAGCAATGTACCTCTGTATGTGCTTGGGTGAATAATACAGAGAAGTGGGTCCCAGTTCATAGAGGCTTAAGTCATTGAATCATTGAACAGCCTGGGCTGGAAGTGAACTTAAAGGTCCTCTAGTTCCAACCTCCACAGGCAGGGACACCTTCCACTAGATCAGGTTGCACAAATATTGTTTTTAGTTTATTATTCTTCTTTAACCTGCACTAGAGACAGAAGGGATCAGCTTCAGCTTCCACATCTGTAGCTAGTTTAAAAAAAGCCGTAAGTTTCTTTTTCTTCTTTTCTTTTTTTTCTTTTCTTTTTTTTCTTTTTTTTTTCTCTTCTTTTTTTCAGGGAGTAGGTTCTAAGGTTTTATGGAAGCTCCAGCTTATTTTATCAAAAGAGATTAGGACCATTGCCGTTGTTCACACTGTCATCAATTAGTTTGCAATAGCTCTTCCAACCAGGTGAGAAAAAAATGCACGGAAGAAACTGGATAGATTTTCTCTCTGCAAGCAAAGCAGTGGCCACTATGAGACAGTTACTGCAGCTCTGTGTGAAGTCTTCTTAGGGAAACATCCAGTGGAGAAAATGTGACTGCTTTGTGCTCCACCTGTGCTGCCACGGCGGAACAGGCCAGAGAAGCTGGCTTTGGCTTTACAAGGAAAGAGGGAGATGTGAGAAGTGAGTGGCAGACAGGGGAAAGGCTGCTCAGCCACTGCCTTTCCGAGGAGCAGAAGCCACATCCTGGCTGCATTGCTTGCACTCAGTTTGGTGACCTCAGGACATGACCCAAATCATAGGAAACCACATTAAGAAAATCCAGCACAGTTGCTGGTATCACTCACAGCAACATCCAAGAAGTGAAAAATAGATGAGAGAGAGCTAGCATAAGAAAGAGCTGTCAAACTGTCCTTCAGCATTGACTGGGTCAAGGTGGTCCATGAGGTTGAGAGGAGAGAGAAAGCACTGCTTAAAGATGGGCAGATGAAGACGGTGTAGACTGCTATATCATAAGTTGTATTGACAGGGAAGCTAGGGAGAATACCAGGAAAACTTTCCCGGTAGAGAAGTATGTAAGTATGCGGAGCAATGTCAATAAAGACAATGAGATAAACCCATAAAAAAGTATACTTCACATTAACCAAAACTGGAGCTGTACTGCATTTACACTCACTTTTGTCACTTTGTAGGACTCCTCTGATTACACTGTTTTGCTTAAAATTATGTTATAGATCTCAGCTTTCTTAGCCAGTGTTTCTCTTTAGATAGCTGGTATAAATAAAGATATGATGGTCACATTGGGTAGGGTAAGGGAGACATTCAGATGCAACCTGAGCAAATGCCAGCCCCATTTATTTCCTATTTGTTCTCTGATGAAGGTGCAGAGCCAGGGAACATCAGAGAAGCCTGTCCACCAAGCTCTGCTCAAAGCACTTGTAACTTAATGGGGCAATTCAGGAGGACAAGTAACCCGGTGCATGGATCCAGTATCTGTACAGAGGCTTCTCCCTTCGTTTTAGACCTACTGAAACAGCAATTTGTCTCATTATTTGATAGCTCAGTAGTAGCTTATACCTTTCTGATGTTATGTAAGTGGATTTAGAGGAAAAGCACTGCCATGAGCAAGTTTCTAATTAGGAAAATAAACAAATGGAATTATGGAATTAAGGCAGAACCCCAGCTTGAGTGACCCAAATCCCTTCCTTGTGCTGCAGTCCACTGCAGGCTATTAGAAAAGTTTTTATTTTTATCTTTTTAAAGTTAATTCATCACTAAGATGGAACAACAAAGGCAAATTCCTTTGCAGGCTGGCAACCACACTCCCAAGTTGCTGGGGTCAACTAGTTTGACTATTGCAAGTGCCAAGGACGATGCTTTATTGAACTGGCTGCTCTGCCATGCAAGCAGCTGGACCCACACTCATACAAGCACTGCTGGAATACAAACAACAGTGCATGCATTACCATTTCCTGACTTGTGCTGGCAACTTTCTGTCAGTCCAAACATGCAGACTGTCATTTTTACATTTTTATTCGTAGTTGGATACTACTAATACTTACTTACTACAGTACTGGGTATAGGTGTCTAATTAACAGTGGCTTTCTTTGCAGAGACATTAGGAGTCCACAGGTCTCCATGACCTGGCCTCAGCAGGAGAAAAGAGCACTCTATACTTCTCACAAATTAGGCCATATTTATCTACATACTCAGCTGCAGATGTAAGTGCCTACGTTTTAAAACATTGGTTTGTGAAAATAGCAATTTATGGCTCTCAAAGGAGCAATCTGAAATTTGATGAGGGAGTCTTAAGGTCTCCACTCACAATTCTGCCACTAACTGCAGAGTGGTTTTGATAGCATTTGAATCTCTGAAGGCATTTCGGTTTCCTTATCAGGTTAAAGAAGCTAAGTAGATATCCTGGGTTGTAGTGCTGCTGGTAGGAAATCTCACGTACTCAGTAAATCAATTTATACATGAACAAGAAGCCATATTTATTCTTTATACATGCAGGCACTATCTCACTGCTATGTTATATGGTTTTAAATCTGTGTCAGGTGGAAACGGTGCACCGGCAATGACTGGTTTGATAGGATGCTAACTCTATTTCTTTTGCAGAATTGAGCACTAGTCAGTTTTTTGCTGAGCAGGGGATCTCTAGGATTTTTCCTTGCTGCAGTGAGGCTACATGGATGAAGTAGGAAGAGCTCTCAGAGGTTTTCCTGCCTGGAAAGGAAGACTGTCAATTGCAGCATGCAGCTGAACGGACCCACCAAATGCAGGGGAACACCATGCTCCTAGCAATTTGGATTCAAGAGTGATCTTTGGCAGCTACTGGCATGCAGAAACCTGAACCGTATGACAAAGAATCCAGCAAAGCTCATTAATAAATTACCCTGTGTGATTGCCCAAAACACTGAGCACTTAGCTGAAGTAGCCTGAACTCTCATAGCCAACCACAAGGTACAAAGAGTATAGAAACACACTTAAGGAAATAGCTAATTATTATTTTGGGAAAGAGAGCTCCAACTCTGTGTGGAAAGCCAGAGTTTCCCCAGCAGCAGAGACACTGCATAACCACATTTTCCCAGGACCTGTTTCACTCCTCTTACCTCTCCGAGCATGGCAATGTAGGAAGGTAGGAAATGATTTTCCCTATTTCCCAAGCCATAGCCATAGTAAAGAGTAAGTCTAGGTAGGGTTGCTGTGTCCTCCAGGAGATAGGCATGGTGAAATACTACACCTGTAACACCATCAGACCAAAATACTGCTCTGCCATTCTCTGTTATGCTCATTCGTACCATGAGATAAAACTTCTGTTTCCTTTAGGGGCAGAAGAAGGTTCAAAGTTATTCTGATGCTGATACTACCAGCACCTCACCTCACACCACTTGGTGCATGTTGTGCATGAGTGTTAGATGTGGGGGATGACAATTTACTAGACAGTGTCACTACAAACCTAAAATCCTGCCCTTTTCACCCTACAAACAGAGACCCAGAGTAATTAAGACAGTGTTAGTTTTATTGTACTCAGCATGGAAACCAGAAGATGTAAAACAGCAAAACATTAAATTCCTAAGGAAGTCAATCAGGTGGGTAACATTGCTTTATATCATTGTAAGACTTCTTCACATGCAAACTTTTCTTGGTATGTCTCAAATAAATACTACAGTACATCTGGAAGCCTAAAACTAGCTTTACTTTGTACAGTACATCACATTCAGTCAGTATAACTATAAAAATAATAAAGCCACAATAATATTAGTCATCATTAGAAGCCCCAAAATTGGTTTTCTTCTTCTGCTGACTGATTTATGGCCATCATTTTTATGGTGTTTGCAACAGCCAGGAATTCAGAGGTCATCCACCCTCTCTCCCTTTAGCCCTGGGTACAAACTCCCATCACTTTCCAGTGTGCTACTGAGACCTTAAGCTTCAGGCTTGAGGCTTGATTTTATGTACCACGAACACTTGGATTTTTCTCTTCCCTGCTACTGAAACTCCTCAGGTCAGTGTCTACACTTGGATTTGATGTACTTGAAACTACTTACTGTGAACTGAGCTAGAGGATGTGTTTTGGGGAGAACCCTCTAACGGATGGATCAGCTAGATGAGCTGCTGAGAAGCATCCCAAGAGTCTTGGATTCTGCAGCACACAGCTGCTGGAGACTTTGCTGTCATTTATTTCTACCCCAGAGGTTGTCAGTCTCAGCAGAAACCTAACAAAACCTCAAGGTCTAGTATGTCAGGAAGGACTTGGTTCATGTGATTCTGCCCCTCCTGAGCTCAGATGCTTGCTATCACCCATCTGCTATCTGTCTTTGTGCAGAAACCCATTTGTATATACTGTGTGGATACCCACAAAGTTCTGGAGTCAGTGTGTATCTCTGTACACCCAACCACTGTGCTTTCTGTTGACAGTCTAGACACAGAGGTTGGCCAACTCTTTTATTTTAGCAAGAGCAATGGGATTTTTTTTAGAGACCAAATAAAGATAAAATCCTTGTGTGTCTACTGAAGAATAACCTAAACTTGCCTCAAAGTTGTAGAAAATGCTGACCCTCCAGCATTTAGTCAGAAAGGGGAAAGGGAAAAAATCTTAGAGTGTGAGTAATGCATGAGACCTGCACACATGTACAGCCCTTTTAAACATGTACATGTACATGTATGCACACACAAGGTGACCTACAGCAAACTTTTTCCTAGAGGAAAAAATATTTCCTCTCTGTGTGTTTGGACTCTATCAGTTTCTGTGTTAAGAAAAGCCTCAATGATGAAGGATAAGTTTCACATCACAAAATATTCCTTGCCAGGATTTGATTCAAAATCCATATTATAAATACTGGGAAGGAAGAGCTAGTCAGAAAAGGACAGAGCAGATAAATTAATAAATGCCAGAGCTTCAAAGAAATGAATGGCGTTCATTTCACTTCAGATCGGTTCCGCTGATCAGAACTTTAAATATCTGTACTAACTCAGGTGAAATAATGAAATTTAGGCCCCTAGGAGAACATTTCAGCCATTTTAATGTACAGGAACTGACCTCCAGGCTCATGGGCCACTGCAGCATCTCACAACTCCAGAGGTATTTGGTAGTGTGCAGCATTTAGATAGGAATCTGTCTGCATACCTTTGGGATGACTGTGAAGACACTGACCACTTGTAGGAGCATCACACAGTGACTAGAAAAATAAATAAGCAAAGTCTGAGATGCTACTACAACAGGAAAAAAAAAAAAAAGGTTACAAGAGGCTTTGTATTACTCCAGGCCATGGAGCTTGATGAACAGGTCTCTCATTCGGAGCCACCATCTCCATAAGCTGCCTGTGAAAGGTTTACTCTGCCTTCTACATTCATTTTTAAAAGGTGTAAAGAGATAGACATGGAAAAAGGCAATGGAAAATCAGCCTGATAAGCTAATACAAATTTTACTTTTATGCTTATACAAACTGCACTAAATAATAAAATGCTGATGTGGTAGATTCCACCAAATTTCCAAATGGAAAACAAATAGCATCACAAAGAAATCTCCCATCAACTTCAACTCTAATTTTCATTTGCATTTCCGCTTACAACTTTAACATTTCAAAGCAGTCGTGACTTTCAAGACAAAACAGCATTATCTTTAGAGTTTATATTCACTTTTTCTGAATTCCTTGAAGGTACTTCTCCAAACAATGCATTTTACAAGCTCTTATGTGACAGTAGTGGTAATAAACTGAGGCTGTTCACCTACTGGGATCACCAGTTAGTTTCTCAGATCAGTTTTGTTGAATTGTATTTGGACATATCTATACACACCTGCTATATATACAGCCTTCAGAAATGTTCATCTTCCTAAAAAACATTGGTCACCAAGAACATGAAAAATCTGTGAGGTCAGAATGAACAAGTGGGGACAACTGCAAAAATTTAGTAAAACAGTGGCTTTATGGACATAGGAACAGAAATATCCTCATGAAGAACCTATATCACCTACGTTTTAGTTTTCATTTGGTCCTTTCTTCCTCATTTTTCTCAGCAATTCCTTCCTATATGTTCAAAGGAAGGGTTCCTACCTCTGAAATAGGGAGGACAGGTTATCTTCCTCCTTGTCTCCAAATCTTTCCTCACTTTTTTTTTTTTTTTTTCCCCCTGAGCCAACACAAAATCTGGAGCCATGCTGCAAACTGCCTGCAACCAGGCTCTCCTTCAATTCATATTGGAAACATTGAAATATAGATTTGCATTCCTATTAACTGTTCTGGTTTTGGTTCTGGCCACACCAGTCTCCCCAGAAGATGCACTGACAGAGGTTCTCTGACACTAAGCTTGTTTCCACAATTTCTCATCTTCCACCAAAGTGAATTTTGATTTTTTGAAGCTTCCAACATACCGAGTTACTTCAGCTGTCCTGGGCTGAAACACAGGTCCGTTGTTTTTATTTTTCCTTGTACAGATTTCTCTTGGGAATGACAAAGTAATTTCTGTTTTGAGCCCTCTTTTTATTATCCCAAATTGATTTCCTGGGTTGTTAACCACTGAACTGACACTCTGTGGTGCTGACTCACAGGGCAGGGAAAAAGAAGAGGATGAAGGCATGTGGATCACCTCCCCCTACTCTCTGCCATACAGTAACTTCTATTTTTGACACTGATGTGACACCAAGAACAGTCTTTCTTGGCTGCTAAAGGACTATTCACACACGTATTTGCTAATTGCTACCCAAAACATGTTTTCCTTCTGGTGAAACATGCATCATCCCTCCAAGGATTCACATAAGTTATCTAAACATTGTATGCATGAGAAAGCACAAATTGCCAGTGGAACGCTAGCAGCTTGCCTACAGTCTGCACTACCAGGGCAAAGAGAAAACAAAGTATTTCACATGAGATGTGCTGGTGATTACTGACTCATTCTTTGTGTGTTTTTGGCACGATATTGCTTGGCTGTGAATGCACACCTGCAGGATCTCTGTGTCCACAAGACGGTGTTGCTGATGTGTTGCAGGTTGTCTGTGCATGAGTATTCTCACAGAACACAAAACCACACCACTCTGCTGAGCACCGTGGTGCAGCCAGCTATGTCCATGCAGTTATTTAGATGCATCCAGTTGGTAATCTACCCACCAGCATTTTGTATTGGTGAAATTTCCCTGGAAGAAAGGGTGGTGGGTGTGGGGGGAAGGTGGGAGTGGACCAGCTGGTGCAGACTCACAGCTTGGAGCAGCTGCAGGGTACCTGGAAATCTCTGGTTCCTTGTGAAGAAGTGTTAATTGCAGTGCCTACTCATTGCTAAGTCCAGTTTGGCCTCCATAAAGCCATTCATACCCATACTGTAGAAACATTTAGGAGCGCTGGAGCTAAAGGATAAAGCTCATGGAAATTGCTGAGTGCATGATATCCATTTATTCTCCTCGGGAAGAATATGACAATCCATTTATATATTCATACCGGACACATTTGTAAAGGGACAATTCAGGGCAAGCTGGCAATGAGGAGGGCAGTGGAGGGAGGGACGCGAGCTCAGTCAAGGGACACGGTTTCACAGGAGGACAGGCTGGGCAGCAGCTAAAGAGGGAGCTGGCAGAAGGGAGGTGAAGGTGTAGGAAGGAACTGCGCAAAGCTCTGTACCTGGACAGGAGACAGCAAACACCACAGAAAACTCTGGGAACCTCTTCATGGCTGACACAGACACCACATGGTAAGAGACACCGAACTTGTCAACTAACCTAATGATGCTGCCGAGATTAATCCCACACAAAATTTCACAGGAAATTCACATCTCAGACACTGCTAGGAAGGTAATGGAAACAGCAGTACTAACAAAAAAGAGACAGGAGACTTTCCTCCTAGTAGGCGGACCTGGGAAGACACTCTCTGATATGGTATTTCAGATTCACCAGTTCAGCATCAGGCGGCAGACAACTTGAAATAATGTACAGACATGGAATGAGGAGGTTCCATAAAACTCCAAATACATACCAGAGGAAAATTAGGAATCAATTAGGAGTACCAAGCATAGGGGCAACAACTTTCAATGAAGTAGATTGAAATATTGTCCATTACAGAAACCTTACAGTGTTTTACCTCCTAACTGGGGGAAAAAAAAAAGCCCTGAAACAGCTGCTTTGAAAGCTTGGCAGTCAATACACTCAAAAAGCCTGGCCTCCTAAATACAAGTGGACCACCTCATGGCTGCTTCACAGAAAAAGAAAAAAGAAAGGATATTCATGTTTGTTTACACTGTGTTTTAAGATTTACAGAGTAAGTCAGACGTGTGGTACTACAGACAGAAATAAATTATCATCATGATTTATAAAAAATCTTTAATGGAATAAAAGTAACTCCTATTTAACTCTAGCACTTGGCAGGATTACAATATCCCAATCCCTTGAAAAATAAACTTTCTATAAGCTGCAGGAGTTCCCCAGCCTACTATAAGCACTGGTGGACAGAATGAAGAACTAGTGAGAAACATTTCCTAGGTTGAAAAATGTTGTTAAGCGGAGAAATGTGACAAATGTACATTTGAGACATTATTGTATATCACACTTCTGGAGAAACAGTCACTAAGCTACCTTTTATTGGCAGATGCTACAACTTCTCTAACATTAGAAATACAGTAAAGATTGTCTCAAGATTTCAATACTTGTGTAAAGTAAATGCTTCAAGTTAACAATACAACGATTTATAATATAGAGAACATTTGGTAAAACAAGATATGCACAGGCTAAATAAATGGTATTAAGTTTATGAAAGGCAGCGAGAAAAGCACCAATATACTGCAGAAAAAAAAAAAAAAAGGAGCAGATTCAGGTAAGGGCTTAAAAAGTCAGAGCAGTGTAACACAGTAGACATGTAGGCTCATGGACCTAGGTGCACAGCACAGCCTGCTCCTACATTAAAACATCTCCGTGCATCTCTAGAGAGAGAAAAAAGACCCACACCACTTTAAAAAGTGTTTTACAGGAGCAGCATTCAGCACGTCTGGAGGCTGCTGAGAGCCTGGGCTGGTGTGTCACTGTGCCAGGAGACCTGGCTGTGTGTCCTCTCGTGGCTGGCCTCACCTGCAGGCATTGCCTGCTTGCACACACCTTGCACACTCCTCTTTCACCTCCCCTTCCAGCCATCAAAACCCCATTTACTCAACTTCTTCTCCCAAAGAGAGTTCTTCAGCCCTGATCCTCACTCTTTCCTTCATTCTCCATTTCAAGAGGAAAAGAAGAACCATCTCACTTAAGCTCACCTAAAAACTGTGCGCCACTGCATCAACAGTTCACAGCCTTTTTACAGACTTGCCTCATTGTGGGTAACTTAAACATAAGGAAAGTTGTCTTGCTTCACAGCTTGGTTAAACAGCTGTTTTAGTTTCACCTCATCCAGCTTCCCCCAGCCTATCCCTCTGCATCAGACCTTGCGATGCATACCAGTAATTTCTGACAATGATCCTGATAATCCCTCTGCTTCTTGCTTTATCAGAAGATGCTGTTCTCCCTGCCACAAGGTGGCAATGCAAATTTGTGCTTTTGCTAAGTGCCTAGCTTCTCATCTGAGGGTGGACGGGATGGGGGCACCATGTGGAAATACACCAGCTGTGGCAATGACGAAGGCATGACGGGGTGAGTGGCTACTCAGAAAACAAAGGGCAATAATTTCCACTGTTGCTGCACTGCAACCCCAATAACACAACTGAACAGCAGGACTTGAGACTCGAGGGGAAGGATTCTCACTACCACTGCAGACATCCACCCACCCCTGCGGACCACTTCAGTCTAACACAGATGACGGAGCAGGTCGGACACAGCAATTGGGACGCCTAAAATTCTGCAGCATGGACTGGAATATGTTATGCTGCCTCCCTTTCAGTTTCTTATTTGAGGACGTGTCTGAGGAAATGGATTTCCGGTTCTGACTGTTCTGAGACCGGATCAGTTTCTCATGTTCCCGGATTTGTCTCTGTAAGTGGTTCTGGATAGCGATTCCCAAGGATTCAGGGTCGAGGGAAGCACCGTAGACCTCCCACGTCATGCCTTGCTCGTCCCAGACAACATCCCTAACGTGCTTGGATTGCTTCACCTGCACTTTCGCCTCCATGGCGGAGGCGGTCTGCTTCTTGTTTTCCCCGCGGTTTGGCAAGGCCTGAACCGAAGAAGGAAGAGCTGCAGCATGGAGCTCACGCTTGGACTCCTTGGCTTGCTGGGGAGCTGCCGAAACCTCCAGGAGAGGGGTGACATGTCCAGAGCTCGGAGCAGCCACTGGTCCCACCGGCAGAGCCTGCCTGCTGGCCATCGGAGTTGGCCTCATCTCACCCTGGCGGCTGCTCTGCTCCTTCTCACCCACCTCTTCCGAGCAAGCCTTTCCACTGACGGGCTCTCTGCCAGCATTTGCCCCTGCCTGGGCATCGAGCACCATCAAGTTTTCTCCCTTTGGTTTTACCACGGATTGAGGAATCGCCTCCACTTCGTTCACACCCTTACATGGCGCTGGCTTTTGCTCAGAGCCACCCAGGGCCTCGTTCTGCTTGGTTTCACTCTGCAGGTTACAGAGTGAAGGTAACTGGCTGCTTCCCGTGTCATGCACAAGACACTGCACCTTGCTCTCGGTTCTGGCAGCAGCGGTGATGTTTATTTCACCAGCAGCAGACAGTGCTGTGGTTTGATCACTGGGGCTGATGGCAAGCTGCTGGGCAGGCACTGGCTTCGACAGGGCCGCAGCATCTGTCGGCAGTGCAGAAGCAGCCTCACCGCTGCTGGCTGGACCCGTCCCTTCAGTATTATCCACAGCTGTATCTCGGGAGGTGATGGCTGCAGGGGAGAAGGGGACAGTAGGTTCTGCATTGTCTGCTGAGCCTAGGGACACTGCGTCAGGTGGGGCAGCAGGCAGCCCGGCAGGCTGGCTTTGGGCTGTAGCAGCCCCAGCCGTAACACCAGTCAATTTTGACACTGTACCAGGAGAACATGGGGGCTTCTGCTGCGAGGAGAAGCTGTTAACAAGTTCAGACTGGCTCAGCCCCCCGCTGCCTTGGTAAATGATGTGCAGTTCTTCCTTCTCCTCTGAAGGAGGGTTCCCTTTTAAGAAGGCAGCGAGGATGCTGGGGCTGGTGGAAGCTGATTTATTCTCCACAGTAGCCACAGCCTGAACCTCGGCATCTCGCCACGTTCTGCTTGCTGCTTCCTGAGTTAAAGAGCTGCTCTCCGACTGGACCGTCATCGTACCCGTTTCTTTGAATTTGGAGAGCTGGGTCGGGCCCGAGCTCCCCTGCTCAGTGTCTGCATCACACAGGGGATGTGTGCCCTCACAGCTGAGCTGGGCCGCTGCCGTGCTGCTCTGCGCCGCCTCAGTCTGGTCAGCAGGACACAGCTGCTCAGGACCTGCAGACCCGCTTTTTGCCACCACAGCCGCCTGTGGATCTCTCCCAGCATCAGTGGCAGCATCCCTGTCCCTCACTGGAGAGGCAGGCTGGCAGGCAGCAGCGTCGGCTTCTGCTTCCCTCTCTTTCCCCTCTCTTTGCAGAAGGCTTGCCTGAGAGGGGAGACACGACTCGTTACCCCTGGCTGGGCTGCCTGGAGAGGAGCACTGCAACACCTGGAGAGCTGGCTGCTCCTCAGTCCCCTGAGGTTTCAAGGCAGAGTCCTCCACCTGCTGCCAGGGGGCTTGCTTTCGCCTGGCCACCCTGCACAAACTGCTGGGAGCTCTGGGGAGCTGGCATCATGTCTGGCCCACACCCTGCCGCCTCCACCGCCGGGGCTGGCCCTATGCCTGCCAGACACCCCTCCACAGCCTGGCTGGAGAGGCTGGGAAGGAGCACAGCTTGCTGGTTAGCATCCTCCTTGCAGCACGCCTCCTGGGTGCCGGTGCGCTTCAGGCTGCAGGTGCGGGTGGCTGCGGAGCCTGGCACGGAGCAGGGGAAGCCATTGCTGGCCCTCTCTTCAGCAGCAACCTTGGGCTGGTGCTTAGCAGGCAGCAGGTCTCCTGGGCAGTCCTTCTCCTCGGGAGGGGAAGCTAGGGAGAGCTTGGCAGGTCCCAGAGGATGTGGTACAGTCCCCATGGACTGCCTCAGGGATGCAGCTCACTGTCAGCTCCTCCTCAGAGGGCTCTTGTAGGGTGGCGGGTCCAACAGGGCAGGCTTCCAGCAACAGTTCTCCTGTATAGTTAATCTGTCAACAAAAGAAACACAGTGTAAGCTGTATTCAGTTTTAAGAATAAGAAGTACAAGATGTATTTATTTTACAGCTTGGAGAGAAATACTTGCATGTAAGGGGGAAAGTGAAACACCCAGTTCTGCTTAAAAATCACATAAAAGACACAGATTTCAGGCATGTCCCAACTCCAAGGTCTGGATGGAGAAGACAATGCTAAGGACAAAGCAGTAACATCTGCCCTGCTGTGGATACATTAATGAAAACGTAATGACATAACAAGGACTGTAAAACAAGAAATACGAAGAGAAAACGGGAAGCACAGAAAGGGGAGCAGACTGTGTCTGGAAGTTTGGGGGGAAAATACTTAGCAGCAAGAGGTCAGAAAATAAAGTGATAAAACCCTGTGTCAAGCCACCTGTGGAAGGTGACTGAGCAGCTGCTGCCTTGCCTGTTGTGCGTACATGAAGACAAGATATGATTCCCCCCGGACTCCCCTGTGACACGAGTGATCTCCCCACTTTGCTGCCCACTGGTGTCCCCTTCCTCTCACGGAGAGCCCTTCCTTCCCTCTACCACCAGCAAGGAAATGCTGACACGGGTCAGTTCAGCCTAACGTGCACAGAGTTTACCTCACTGGTAAAAGGAAGATGGAGGAAAGGCAACCTGCTGGATAGCCTGGTCAATAAACACAGGCACAGACAATCTCAAAATCAGATTATGAAGAGGTGACATGAAACTGGAGGGGAAAACATAGCTGCACCACCTGCACCACTGAACAGGAGGGGCTCAAAGCAGCAGTGAATGCCACAGCCAGCGGAACAGCAGGGAGGAATTTTAAGCAGGTGGAGCAGAGTTATCCAGGCTGAAACCTGGCCAAAACTGCAGAGAAACCGTGACTTCAAGCAAGAGGCGACCTCAAAAACCTGCTTCTTGACTGGAGCTTTCAAAAGGACTCGGCACGGCCCAGCTCAGGTCCTGCTAAAGGTCAACAACTTGGTCTGTCAGTGCCAGAAGAGCAGTGGTGACAGCGATTAAGTCCCACTCCACCCTTATTGCAGGTTGCCTATGCTAGCTGAACAGCTTCTTTTAAAAGCTTCTCACAGCCCATGCTGCCAGCAAAACACCGGCATGAGACCTGGGAGGCACTCCTAACATTTAGCTGTATGTTAAGCAGAGGGATGGTGCTGGGAAAATTACCTCTGTGTGTCCATGTCCCTGAAGGCACACAGCGGGGTCTCCTTTGCAAAATGACTTGGGAGATGCTGCTGGCAGGAGCTGTGATGTCCCAGACCCTCCCTACCCACTGGCAGTGTCAGTACAAGCCCTCTCCCGAAAGGGTAGATCCCTACCCTTCTCCTCTCTTTCAACCATAATGGCAGTGCTATAACTTTCTCAGTTTCTGTAAGATTCACCCTATATTTCAGCATCTCAGGGTACATAGAAAGAATGACAGAAGAAAAGTGCTCAATGAGAGGAAAATTGAAATAATACAGACAACCTATTTTTTCTAAGAAAAGGAAACCTCTGCAACTTATTACTTATTCATTAAACTTTATGTCTTCCGGATATTAATAATTCATTATTTTTTATACAGTATCTTTGGGCTCTCTCCATCCACAGATACACAGAGCCTGCTGGGTTAAGTCAGCCTTGATAAGCTGTGATCCTGCCCCTGGAGGACACTGAACTGCAATCTGTGGTCGCAGCCGTGTATCACTCCAAAGTGGGTCTCCTCCAAGGCTAATGACGGCTGAGCTTTTTAAGCCGCACTGAGTTTATGGAAACCAGATTGCAAATCTGCACAACTTTGTGACCGCCTACAAGATGTTTGCTTCATTTTGTGCTCACTTTAATGCCAGTTAGCGGAGTCCTGAAGAGGAGAGCCATTCCAAGTTCCTGCTGTTGTACCATGACCGAACGTCTAATAACCGTGAGCAGAGGAGCAGATGGCTTTGGGCATCTGTTTCTAAACTCTGGTACTCTCTTCTTTGCTTTTCCAAGTATCAGTGCAAACTAAACCGGCATATACAATTGGGCAGGTCACATTTTTTAGGTCAAGAGTTTATTTAAAACAAACAAACAAGCAATGGAACAAAACCAAACCGAATTCTTAATATGTGCCATACTACATGGTGAAAGCTTTGGAACAAAAAAAAAAAAGAAGGCAGAGCAAATCTGCTTGGCTCTTCACTATATAAAAACCTCCGAAAGAACGGCACCCAAAATCCAGTGCTCTCGATGGAAACAGATTGCTTGTGTCATCACATGAAAATCCTACAGCAGCACTGATGCCAGCACAGGTCTGCGTGCTGGCAGTCAGAAGCAGCAGTGAAAGGCACTCTGAACAACGGAGCACTGTCCTTCACTCAAACCCGCTCAGTGATGGAACAATTCCTCCTTTTTCAATTCAGTAAATTAGTTCTGACCTGAACTCCCACATGAACCCCACACCTGCTTAGTGTCTCTTCAGCAGCATCACTAGAAAGTGTGGTTAAGAAAGTTTATTTTTGAAGCCTACATGTAGATGCCACAAGTGCTAATTAAAAGTGATTCTGCTACTTAGCCCTAGACATGTCATGCCAAGAGGGGAAATTCTGCCCCAATAAACCCATGCAGCCCTATTCTGAGATATGGGATAACAGAGTATAACCTAGACATTTCACTCGACCCCAAAACACAGAGTGGGGGGCCAGGTCGTTCCCCTGCATGAGACCAGCTTGAAAATTCATTAGATTATGAGAAAAAAAATAAATATATATATATATGTGATATATATATTAAATACTTCTTTGTTGCCACAGTCATGGGAGCTATCTTATTGCTAGACTCTTTACTAAGATAGCCCAATGACAGGAACCAATGGCACTGTCATAGTCTAAATAAATGTGGTAACTTTTAACAATGCTTTCTCAAAAATTAATAAAAATCAGGATGCAAGTCTTATGCAAGAGAAAAGCAGCAAAACCAGCTAATTACAGTATCGGAAAGGCATTCTTATTATTCCTAGTAGTGAAGAACAATGCTGAGACCTGTGGGCACAGCGAACACACACTACTCAACTGTCAAGGCAGTAAGGATTCAAACCAACAAGCAACACTGACTGCAAGAAAAAAGAAAAACAAAACTCAGTGGACGGCCAAAAAACATGTCAAAACAAATTAAGATTGCTGGTGAATGTTGCAAGTGTTGTATGCCTGACCTGGAGCAATCATCCCAAATTTTCTTTCATAAGGCAGCGAAATTAATATCTCCCCAAAGGTCAAAATCATTCTTTTAATAATAAGAACAGATTTTTGACATGAATACAACTCTCCTACATCATATGCATTCAGACCACATTTGTCTGCCTGACTGTGTCAATCTTATCTCGATGTAGATTTTTTCTCTGGACCTTTACAACAAGAAGTTTTTAATTTGGCAGAGTCTATGTTCAGCTTATATGGCCTGGCAGAGTCCCTGCATGGCCAGGAGACCTTCACACACTTGTGTCACTGAGCATGTTTTCTTTATGTGCTTAAAGAAAAAAACAAAAGCGAGCAAACAGAAAACACTAAGAAGTTTCCAGGCGACTTAATGTTATTAACCTCAAGCTGCAATGCAAAGAAACTCCTATTTATTTGGTAACACCCTTTCCCAGTAAAACTATATTGCAAATTTCCCTCTCACTGCTTACTGGAATGTCAACAAAAGCAGAATATCTGCAATTTACTAAATAAATAAATAAATAATAAAAATTAAAAAAAATTCCAGGAAATTTCAACGTAAGATTCCGACTACCATTTCCTTTGAAAAATTCTGAAAATCTGCAAAAGCACACATAAGACCACCAGCATTTCCAACTACTCTCAATTTTGAAGTAGTTTAAAGATGAATAATGAAAAACAATTAAAATCTAGTTCCCAGACAAATCAAGTACCCACTCCCTCATCTAGATTCTTATCAGCTTTCCAGTCACTGAGACCCACATTCTTCAAGCCCTTTGTTTGGCTTTGTCTTTATAAGTAAAAGAACTAAGTATTTATTCTTAAAATTTCTAATCTTGTCCTATGGTTTGTCAAATTATAATGAAAATCATTGTCGAGTGGCACAGGTTAATGCTGCAGATGAACACCTGCTAAAGTGGGAATTCAGCCTCCCTTCTTGTCTTGTAATCTGAGGAAAAAACTATGGAACACTAACTCATATTAGACCACTGAGTAGACAGATCATGAAGCACATTTCTTTTAATTTTATATATATACAGGCACATGCATCCTTCCAATTTTTCATTTTTTTCTTTCTTTTTTTTCCCATTTTTTCTAGCTCTTTATTCTGTTCTCTGTAAATCGTTGTGGCTTTTTCCTTTGTGTCAAAGGGTCTTAGTTATTCCATTCATGAAAAATTTGCTTAATTGGTTATTTCCTCCTAATTATCTGTAAAAGATAAAATTGCCTTTTAATATTCATTAAAATACAAAAGAGAAGGCCCAAAGAGGGAAGATGCAGGATATATACAGCTTCTGTCTCTCAGCGTGCTTTGGGATGCTGAAAGGAGATAGGACTTCACATGGGGATGCAAGAGGGGATACAACTTGTGTACATATGGTTCCTAAAAAAGGGGGGGTTGGGATTTCAAGAATACGGTGCACATCTCCCATTTTGCAGTCTTTTGTCCAAAACACAAAGGCAAATGGTCAGAAAGTAAGAACTGAAGTCCCACTTCCCTTTCTGCAGCTGGGGACAGCACCTGTTATTGCAGGTGGTGTCAGAGCATCACTCTTTCTGTGATCTCATTTGTGGAAAGATTATCACACTCCCACCACCGCCACAAGTGTGTCACACCCAGCACAAGGCTATTTGTTTTCTGCTGTGCTTGCTGTTGTACGAAGGTCACACCAAGCCAGCTCAGAGCTTTGTTTGGCTCTATTACATCTGCCTTGAGGACAGAAACTGGGCAAGATGTGACAGTGGCATGTGTCATATTTGCACATTCGCTATTCTGTTCCCTTAAAAGGCTGACTGGTAAGTTGCACACCT